GTGGTAATAAAATGATGCTACATAATTTTGCTTTAACAAAAGAATTTGATTTAAACCACCGGCAATACCCCGTAGCTGTGCTCAGAAAACGTGGAATGGAATCAACTTATCTCGAAATATTAAATGAGTGCGGCGAAAATTCAACGTATAGAAATGTAGTAAAAACTTTGGATACAAAAACAAATAAAGAAAAACAAAACGATACAAACCCAGTTTTTCAATTATATACATAGTATAATAGGTATATTCTGTTTTATTAGCACATTTTTTTATGAATTTGAATGGCAAACAAGCTAACGCCCACGTAATGGAAAGGGTAACTTTTAAAACACAACAGTAAAATCACGGATTCAACAAAATGTATTGTGATGCTCGTAGTACACTCATAGACCTTTCATGAGGACTAAGCTATTATCCGTCCGTAACCAATTTTTGCCTCGTAACATAGGTAAGTAAAATAAAACCAAAAGCGATTTCAGTAACGTATTACCATAAAAGAAGGAAAACTCTGAGGTGGTGGGAGGGGTAAGAGTACAAAACCGAATGGCTATCTTATTATAAGACTTTCAATTTTATTATGTAAATCCATCGTTGTGGTTAAGAAGACGTTGGCGTCGTTAAGTCGCCGGTGTTTACTGAATGAATGTTCTTCTACCGTCTTATCACTTGATCGCTTTTATTTTGACCTTCATAGTTAATCTCCATAATAATACGTTTACTTAGCTGACCATTTTAGTTAGATAATTGTAAAACACTAGTAGTACTACTAGACAATAATTTATAAATGATATAAATGATAAATTTGAATATTTTATTTCCCAAATATATTTTTTTAAATAAGTTATTTTAAATCCTAACCCAGATCTGTAATACGTAGCATGTACGTTTTCTAATGTCTATCTAAAATTTAATTATTGTTTGTAATGGCACACTAGCTACCGTGGCAACTGACTGTATTATCTAAGAATGGGGTACCCACACGGATCACTTTGTACACAGCTATCTAAGCACAAATCTCTACATTTATCAGAAAATTTAGCACTAAATTTAGAACGAACTTACATAAAAATAAAACATGAGCACCGGAATACCTGCTATTAATATTAGGCCGTTAAACAATAGCTATACCATTGGGTATTAAGAACTGTTTAATATTTCATATGTTTTGCCAATCTTAGCTACCATACTTTTATGGTATTGTCTACAACTATATTATAAATAAAATTTATCTTATCAAATTTAGTAAAAATCATAAGAAACCAGCGCCAGATAATTGAACATACAAACACGAGCAGCTCAACTCTGTAATATATAATGTAGCTATCTAATATATTTGCTAATGATTTCTCACTCGTAACTAATTCGAATTATATTAACAATATTTACCTCTAATCAAGTTACAAGCCCGTTTTATTAGCAACAGCATAACAACACTTGTCATAATAAATCATCCCTTTGATTCTGCTCCATTAACGGAATGGAACATGCTGTATGTAGACTATTCTGATAATACGTAGAAACATTACACTAACTCTACTTGCTGTCAGTGTGTTTAATGGCACTCCTCTTTCTGAAGGATCTGTTATACATATTATCTAAAATAATTAAGCCAAATTAGATATATACTAACTAGAAGGTTAATAGAGAATATTATACTTTAATGTATACATTTTTTCATTAGAATGGCATAGATGTACCTACAGAACTCACCTAATGTACGTGGTAACCATCTCGCCAGTAGGTTATACATATGCACTACGACTACAATGTCAATCAAAAATTCCTTACCTCATGCTTTAATCGATACACAACATTCTAAGCAACCTGCTCGATATATACAAAGCTATAACCTATTTTTATATATAAATCTATCTTTACACTTTTAAGTCTTCTCTCATTATTTGTATAATGTCATACATATTACAACTTAATTTCAATGGAAAATAAATTTGTATTTTACATTTCGATAATTATCCCCGTAAAATACCTAGTTAACGTTTTTGTATGTTGCCTATTTAGTACAATTTCAAGTAGGTATCTACATACATTGTGCTGTAAAGTTCTACAAAAATTGTAAGTCACTATATTACATATAAAAATTATTATAAAAGATAAATTATTATAATCGGCCAAGGAAATGTACCCAATGCTAGTGTAATCTAAGTTGAAGAAATTAGTTTTGTATGTTTAAATTACATGTATATACGACTTTGATAAACTGCCGACTACTATGTACAAGATTTGTAGTACGAGTATAGGGCTACGTTTAGCCTGAACAAATAATAGTAGCAAATTCGGATACAGGTATATCATTGCTAAGTATTTATACCTGCTCGTGGTAGTATTCACCATGATTTTATACATATTACCATACTTTTAGATTCAGTAAATATACTATTTAACATTGTTTGTAATACTACAATAAATTTTGTATAAAATGACATAATTAACTTATTAAGACCGGATTCTTCCAGTCAACCTATTTTGAATTACTGAGAGCAATTGTGAGGTGGTGGAAATAGATACAAATAATACATTATTATTATTATCTTTAATAATAAATATACCTAATATTTCTACTTTAACCCCACTGTAATTCAATTTATAAGGATATTTAACTTAATAACTCTTAAATTATCTGATAAATTAAAACTTACCAATTAGAAATTCATTGTTTCGTGTTCCTTTTTTATTAAATTCTTTGCTAAGTTCCCTTTTTATTGATGTTAAAGGGACACAAATGATCCATGAAAGGGTTTCCGCCGACATCCAGTTAATCGATTTAATTTATTAAAGAATATACTTTCGGATCGGCAAGGGTTGCATAATAAACGACACTCGTAATTAAATATGTTTTAAAATTTCAGCAGTTATTACGCGCAGAGTGTACAAAATTTTGTTAGGCTGAGTCAAAATATATCATAGAATGACGTGACTTTAGAACTGTAGGTACGTAATCCAATCGACTGTAAGATTTGCTAATTATGTTGAACGATTTTCTGCTTTACTTCATGTGGATAATGAGATTAAAAAATCATTGCGTCGATATTTCATTGCTAGAATTAAAAAAATTACGATAATGAGTAATCTGTCGTCGCACATTGATTGGATGTCCATTACAGCACTTACTCATAGTTGCTATACCCGGTTGGACTACCCACCGCGCCGTTACTTAAAATAAAGAATGGTGTACCTATCCTATACGTTAATCTACAATATGTGTGTACTGAATTACATTCTTCCGTCTATTAGTGATTATGTGAGAGAACATACCTATAACCTACAACAGCACAAATATTTCAACCTATTTTCATATTATTTTGCAAATATATGTATATGTATATACATAAGAAACACATCCAATTCCATACAAACAATATCGTACACGATCTGATGTATGTGAGGCCGTGTGCTAAAGTGGTAGACCACCGAAGCCGTCTTCATAAAAATGTTACTGTAGCTCGTGAGATTAGACCGTACAAACTTTCGTGTATCTAATATTAGTAGAATTTTCATTGAAAGGCCAAAATGAACGGACTGATAAAGGTAAAATAGTGCCATACATGTTCAAATATATTTGACAAATAGATATGTGACTTTAGCAGAAATTGTACATAGCTTTAGAATCGCACTAAAACGGTCTTTCCTATGCCGGGGTATGACGTAATTGGCTTGCTGTATTATATTTAGTCTATGTATACCGAGCTCCTCCTGTCCTTTATTAAAATCCACTTTAAAGTCAGGACAAAGTCTTATACAATAGTAGATGTCTATCAGTCATATATATATGACTGATATATATATATATGTTCGCAATTACCCCACTCTGCCCTATCAATAAGGCATAATCCTCTTCTTTCCCTAATACCATTGAATTATACCCACCTAAACAAAATTAATTTCTTTAGTGGGCTAGCAACAATTTTAATAAACTGTCTGAAACTGTTAATTTGGATATATTTTCTAATAATATTAAATCAACGAGATACTAACTGTGTAGACGTTTCTTGGAATAATAAATAATTAGTATATATCTACCCATGTATCTATATATTTCGTATAAATTCATTATTTGTTGCTGTACTCTTGTTCATATCCCAAGTTTATAATCTCGATCTGTGTCGCCTTTATATGTAATTTTGTCAATTTTAATCAAATTAATCTGTTGTTATTTATGTAACTGTCAGTGCCTTAATATGTTTTTATATTGATTGAAAATGTGTGCAGTTGGCCTTGGTTGTCCTTTAATAAATAAATACTCTATACTAAGAATGTAATAATCACTTTTACCACATAGCATTCAACTATATACAGAAGGAATTACGAGGCTGTCTGTCAAATTTCACATTTCATATCTTCTCCTTTTGAACCTTTTAGCTGATTTAAGCCAGGCGCTTGATGAATGTCAAAACTTAATACTTTGAGGAAATAATTATTTCCAAACTCTCATAACAGAGTATGTATACATTAATATCTGCCTATTCTACTTAAAGTTGTCACTATGTTTATTGTGAATATCAAATACATAATAATTTAAAATTCTGTATTTTATAATATCTAATGTAAAATGCAATAAAATACCCTTACGCTAAATGATAAATATTAGTAGCCTAACAAAAGTGACTCTTTAATTATAATGATTCACTATGACTAATGACCATTAAGTACCCTATGTAATTATTCATTTATTTCATACCTATGTGCTGATGGCCAATGAGAATCAATATTTTAATCAGTTTTCATTGAAAAGTTTTATTTCTCCGAAATTACTTTATTGTTATAGCAATGAAAGCAGTTATTTAGATAAACAAAGCGGACCGTACTTACTCCGAACTAATTATAACTGAAGTATACAAACAAATATTTAGTAATTGTTGTACCGTAATTTCTATTTGCTTTGTTTTATTAACTGTTGATATACTATTAACCTTCGACACGGACAACCAAACAGCCCAGCGGCTGTCTCGGTCGCGTGTCATTCACTCGCTCTAGTTCCGCGGCATTTAGATAGCGTTCGAGCTAGTGAACTCACTCGCACGCTTATTAGTAGCTGTTATTCATTGTTCTGCTTCTGCCAACGCAGTTGTTAAGTTGTTTAGTCATTGCGCCATAGTCGCATTGATTGCACGTCACTTTCGTCTGCGCCTGCGTCTAAAAATCAGACGATTATTATGGCGCGATCGGTCGTTGTCGCGATGATAGTCCTCATTGGACTATCTGTAGCATCAACTGATGTTTTGCATTCTCTGTCTGATAAATTCATTAATCTCATCAACACAAAACAAAATCTGTGGAAGGCTGGCCGTAATTTCCCGGAAAATACATCGATCAAATATATCAGGAAATTGATGGGTGTTTTGCCGGATAACCAATTTACGAAACTGCCTACGGTGACACATGATGCCAAATTAGTAGAGTCACTTCCTGAGAACTTCGACCCAAGAGATAAGTGGCCAAATTGTCCTACTTTAAACCAAATTAGAGACCAAGGGTCCTGTGGGAGCTGCTGGGCTTTCGGTGCAGTTGAAGCTATGACGGACAGAGTTTGCACCTATTCGAACGGAACTCAACACTTCCATTTCTCAGCTGAAGATCTATTGAGTTGTTGTCCAATCTGCGGGCTTGGTTGCAACGGTGGAATTCCAAGACTCGCTTGGGAGTACTACAAACATTTCGGTATTGTGTCTGGAGGGAGTTACAATTCAAGTCAAGGATGCAGACCGTATGAAATCGCACCGTGTGAACATCATGTACCTGGCAATAGATTGCCTTGCTCTGGTGATTCCAAAACACCAAAATGCATAAAAACCTGCGAATCAAATTACAATGTACAATACAAAAAAGATAAGCGGTACGCTAAACATGTTTATTCCATAAGTGGAGGAGAAGAACATATTAAAGCTGAATTATATAAAAATGGGCCAGTTGAAGGCGCTTTTACTGTATACGCTGATTTGCTTGCGTACAAAGATGGTGTATATAAACATGTAGAGGGCCAAGCTCTTGGGGGTCATGCCATAAAAATTATTGGTTGGGGAGTGGAGAATGGAACCAAATACTGGCTTATTGCAAACTCATGGAATTCCGATTGGGGAAATAATGGCTTCTTTAAGATCCTTCGAGGTGAAGACCACTGCGGCATTGAAAGCTCTATAATGGCTGGTGAACCATTATTAGTTAATAACTAGTCTTAGACGTAGATGAATTGAGTTCTATGTAAAAAAATAGGTGCATATCTATATATATATACATATAATAAATAAGTAACATTATACTACGTTTATTATTCTTCACTTGCTGTCGTAATTATTGAACTAAGAACAATTATAAAGCTTTAGCTTTAGTGGGCACACGGAAAATGCTTACAGTATTGTGTTATAAATAGGGTCATATAGATAAAAACAATATAACTATAGGTAAGAGTATTTAGAAATCTCGTATCAGAACATTTTTATTTGGTTTTATAAGAATAACAATAGCCATTAGCTATTTTATCATTATATGATTAAGCACAGGTCAAAGTTCATAACGTAGGTAGGTAGGTACCTATGTTTCTTAACAATAACACAATTTTACAGTTAACGAAAATATTACAATTGATAGGAACTGTAACAATAAATATGTGGTGCAATATACTACTAAAACGTTACAAACGTTAAACTAATTTGTTTCTTTTTTATATTAATCCAAACATTTATGTAAATAAATATTGTTACGAAACCACCACCAAACCCTAGTTCGAGTAGATAGATATGATATGGAATTTAGAGATGTTTTTAGACTATTTAGTCAGCTTTATCTTTTCCCGAGGACTGTCTGGCTGTCTGGAGGAAATATTGAAGGTCCCAGGATACAGGGCAACCCCTAGTTAGAATTAAATATACAGGTTTGCTTTGAAAATTTACTAAGCTTTATAAATGTGAGTTTAAAAATATATGCTAAGAACCTGTGATCGCAATACTAGCTCGCCCCAATTTAAAGACGCCACCCCGTCAATCTACATATTTTCTAAATAGAATAAAATATTATTTTTACTTTTAAGTGTGTCCAAAGTTAACTACGTACCAAATACCCATTTGTATTGTGTCTGACCTATTTCAGCTGGCTAAGTTACTTTCGGTTTAGTGATGAGTAAGATATAGCAAAAGAACTATAGTGTACGGAATTATGTCTCCAGAACAGCAATAAATTAATAATGGATGGTTTATGTTCATGTATACAAGCGACCATTGTCACTTAGCATTAGGTGCGTCATGACTTTGTCATTCCAAATTCATATAATTTCCAAATTCAATGCTTCAGAGTCGCCTAGATTAAAGACGAAAAATCTCATATTGGAATCATATCGAATCATCGAATGATAGGGAGTCTATTTATATATTAATATTTGCCCTGCACTGGCTTTATGACCTTCAATCGAATACAAATTTACATAGAAATAGTCCTCTACTACATTGTCCTACAGTGGATACAAATATAATAATACGTAAAAGTAATGCGTAGATAACTATAATGTTTACAGATATAAGTAGGTATTCATACATTTATCTACAGTACAATTACAACAAACCGCCCCTAGAATATGATATGTTAAATTGAGATAAACAATAAATACACATACTCAAGTGACTAGTAACTGATTACAACGCTAGGTTGGTACTTACTTCAACAACTTGTGGTTTTGGTATTATTTTTCAATATGGAATCTAAACATCTGTGTTAGCTATGGACCTACTATAGCTACCACAGCTATTTTAAGGACACCGCTTACAGCTTAGTATTTAGATATACATTATCCATCATCGGGCCTATATCTACATACCTACATCACGTAAGTAGCTGCATTGGTTGCTTCATCGTATAGTCGTATAAAATACAAGTATGTAGGCCCGTCATACTTCCATCAGTCATAAAAACCTAGTTATTTATTTTATTAGTTATTACTTGCTCAGCACCTGCTTTACATATCTAACCAACAATATAATTTTAATTTTAAATCCGTATCATAAATATAAATATTCATATTAGCACAAGTATAGGCATTACCTAATACTGCCCATAAATATAAACATGTGGCCACTTAAATTTCGAATATCGAAGAAAAAAATAATTGAAAATAAGAAGCGGAACAAAAAGGACGGACCATATTTTAACTGTTATAAAACAAGAAAATTATTGATTTGATTAATATAATATTGTAGTTTTTATCTACTGGAACAAAAAGGACGGACCATATTTTAACTGTTATAAAACAAGAAAATTATTGATTTGATTAATATAATATTGTAGTTTTTACTAAAGTATATCTACATCAAAACGTTCCTCAGCAAAGATGAGCAAGTTTGGTGATACATTGCTTACTTTAAAGTGTTCGGAGTGTGGATCGTTCGTGAAGTGTTCGGACGTTCTTGCTGGGCGAAATCGTATTTCTCCTTCCTTTTCCAATAATAATTAGGTAATTTCTTTTCAACAAACACGGTCCACTCTCTATTTTTACTTATTCTTTGTACGGATTCATAATTCAACAAATATTATACGTTGTTTTTTTTATAGTTATGTATAAAATAATACAGACTGTAATAATAATAATACTGTTCCTATATCTGTTCTAAGAATTTTTCATAAATTTGATAGGTACATTGCTGTATCACGCTTCAGTGGAACTGGGCCACGATGAAATTTTCCTAACACGAACATGCAATGAATCGAATAATATGTATTTAATGTACCCGATTGTGATATTCTATAGCTATGAATGTCGGTTAATGCATTGTTAGTACGAGTATGACATTATTTGTGCGACATCCTTTAGATCGGTAGGTACATACTACGTACTATAACAGTAACCACATTCTTGTACCCTTACAACTATAAACTGTACCACCTACAGTCAACTTAATCGGAAATATTTGTTGTTTATTCACAATAATCCTATAACATTGAAAGTAATAGCATTGAAGCTAAGATATAAGTATCAAATTTAAACATTCGCTGGCAATATATCACTCTGTTTTTTAGCTATATATTTTTAAACTATCGACAGAAGTTAAATATGTACTAGGATATTTTATTGTTATGAGATCGTAATATATGGGACATCTGAAGAAACCACCCGTGACAGCATCTGGCTGTCACAGCGTATTTAGGTGAAATGTATGTTAGATTGGTCCCACTGAGAACAAATCTGAATACTTATTTTGTTACGCAAAATGACATGCTTACCGCTACGCATATACGATATTAACGCTATTAGCGGAGGATGATACCGTAGTTACCCTCATTACTTCCCATACATCCCATATTAGTCTTACCACGGTTATCAGTTGATATTCTAAAATATTTCTGTGAGATTCAAATTTTTTTTATACTACGTAAGTAGCATACAAGAATATAACCCATCTGATGATTAACGGTTACCGTTATCACGTGTCTTACTGCTTTGCCGAAACCTTATGAAACCTTAACATACCCTTTTTGAAAAACCCTAAGATGTATTGGAAGCTCCTCTAAAACTGCACTGTCCGAGACCACTTAAGTTCCCGCGTGTAGGGATGAATACACAGTTTTGTTATGTATGATTTACATGGAATAACGTAATTAAGAGGACGCATGACTTTGACTTAGGTACAAACGTCATTAGGATTCCTTAAATCGTTAAATCATGAAAGATAACAAATAAGCTGATAGACACCTTATTATTTACATATTTAATTCGTAATAGTAGGCTAAAAAAATATGTGTGCAAAAAAAAACGAAATGAAAGTATAACGTTTTTTATTGTAACTAAGTTATTAAATCATTCGTTCTATTCTGTACATGTGAGACAGATCACAGCGCCTTCTAAACGTTATAAATACATATCCGTCTTTGTTAATCCTTTACAATTCAATACAACGCTTTTTCCTTACATATTAAAATTTAATTGTTGTGTTACGTAGATCTAATCCTAAGATATCACAAAACATGACTTTCCTTTCTCCTATATACACAACATAGTCCATACATTCCTCAAACTTCAATTTGTGGTTAAATAAAAATATTAAAATACTTTAGGTACCTATATAAAACAATTATAATGTTATTAAGTTACAGTATCCACTATTCAGATAAGCACTTATCATAGTTTGTGTCAAAACAGCTATGACTTTTACATATTTATAAATAACACATTCATTATGTGACTATTCTTACATAAAATAAGATGATACATTATTATGTTCAAGCAATTGAGAAACCGTTAATACATTCAATAATAATACCTTCACGACTGTTATGCTTGATAGGATAGTCAGAGGTATTGTCGCGCCATCGCCATTGTGGTGAACGCAACCCTTGACATTTTATTTTGTATATTTGAAATCAACGATGCTATAGGTACATAGCATCAAGTAGGTATTGATATAGGTATGAATCATACTGTATTATAAAAATTTATCTTCAGCGGTCACAGGAAATAGTGAACGACAACATAATACCTAAATTAATTTTATATACAAAAATATTTAATTAACAATAGCATAAAGGAACAACGGGATCTTGTCACGTTTTAATCATCCTATTGAGTTACCGACATACCGCTAACATGGCGGTCGTAACATTGCTAAAATAGTGGGAACTCAAAAATATATTTTAATAAATAGTATTATATAATTACAAACTTTGACAGATCACAACGATCACATATTTAAGGACTTCTTTTTTTATTGTCCCGCGCTCATTATTAATTTTTAACTTTTAAACTAGCTATTTCATGAAAAAAATCCATAACAGCAGATGATTAACATAATGACATAATGCAAAATAATAAAATTACGTAAAATAAATCATTAAAAAATTATGTATCAATATTAAAATAATACAAATTAATGTAGCTGATAGCATGACGAAAAACATTATCAAGATTTATATAAAAGTACAACACCTATATAGCAATTAAGTATGAATAGTTCCTCCATTAAATAATTAAACAGTGTTTTATAAATACATGAATCTACTAATAAATAACGCATGCTCATCATGCATATATATTTTTAACTGTGACATTCCAAAAGAAATTTATTGTTAACATACGTAGGGATCATTGTTTATATTTATTAACTACAAGTAATTGATTGAAAATCATTTGATTATTTCCCTGAGCATCCTTAAAAATAATTCTCGAAAACAACTGCGTTTGCTCGTTTACATGTTCTCGCAGTGAATACATTACGGAGATGCATTTTATCAGTGAATTATTAATTTATTACTAATTTATGAAATTTCTTGAAAACTATTTTAGAAAATTTCTTAATTTATGACTTATCGTTAAAATAACTGGGTTTCCCCTGACATCAAAGCTCCTAACACTTTTTAACAGCCCCAGTTAGGTGATTCAGGCAGGTCTCTAGTATTTGTATATTTCAATCAACAGAAATTAAGTCGGATGTACCAGCACTAATCATTACAAAACATCCCAACAAATTCAGTATTGGCATATTATTTAATTCCAATTTTGTAACTTCAGAAATTGTATATCAAAAAGTAACTTTAATAATCATATACACAAAGTTAATACAAATAAAAAATACCATAAACAAGTCGATAATGCAAATATTCTTCAGTCTATTGAATAAAACAAAAGCATATACAATATTAAATAAAATCCCTAACATTAAAGCTAAATTAATAACAATGTCACAATCGTCTTCTGATTTGTAATTCTTGTAAAGATTTTATATCAATAGGAAATATATTACAATATCTTACATCTTATTATTTTTGCACGCCTTTTGACAAGGATAATTTTCTCCCTATATATATAAAAAAGTATATGCTATATAATAAACAATAATTGTAATTTTCATTCAGTCATTCATCTCATTCAATAACATTTATATGATTTGGCTTTTGAATAATAAAATAAATATTTAACATATATTTATCATATTAATAATTTCTCGATCGTTTCAATCCTTACATCTAACACGCGTAAATGCTCTAGTGATAAATTGGAATGGCCGTTACAATTTTTAAAGTACTTTATCCACGAACATGATTTTCTTAGTCACAAATATCTAAAAAAATATTAGAAATGGACTACAGTACATGCACGTCTCAACAATTATTATTTGATCAGCATTCTTATTTGATGGCACGATATCACACATATCCAACCGTTCGCGTCTCTATATGACAATGATAAATTTCATTCCCTTCCATTTTTTTACGTTAAATACTGCCTCTACGTCATAGAATCGTACCTAGTATTGGCGGTGAGAGGGTCAGTATCGTCATGCTGTCTGAAGTGGAATGCGTTTCTAAAACTGTCCCTCAGTCTCTCCATAAAAGTCTTGTAATCTAAATGAGCTTGGCCGAAATCAAAGTCTGCCACCTCTACCGTATATCTGAGAACAAACAACATTGTTCAAATGCAAAATAAAAATATTGGTTTTATTACAAAACACACACACATGTGTATATAAATACATATACACATAGTACACTAGTACATTTCACCAGGAATAAATCTTTGACTAAAATATTAGTAGTTATATATTATTATAATTTAATATTTCGATTGAATACCTCGAAGGTATCTATTTCTACCTTCTAGGTATTTCTAAATTCGAAATATTAAATTTAATTTCTAAATAATAGCTAATTAAAGATATAACTTACTTAATTAACTTACTAATTAAAGATATAACTTACCTGGATTTATGTTGATAATATGCTATGCCAAACACCACCAAAATAACAGCAACCAAACAGAACACCACTGGCACCACAATAACTGACAACTGTGCATGAACCACAGCTAGAAAAATAAAAGAAAATCATTATTTATCTGACTTTTTTAAATGTCTAACATGAGTAAGATTGCGTTGTTTCTAGCACTGTTTTATGTACAAATTAGAATTAATCAAATACTAAATATTACAGGAAGCAGTAAAAACTGCATTCAAAATTGCAAAAATTACAGATTCTTTATTAGCGCGCTGTAGTGTTAAACTTAACACTTTGTATAAACAAAGTATACAAATTGTTTTTAGGAATATTAACATGATTTTATTATAAGTATGTTAGATGATGCAACAACTATAGTATTATTTTTCAGCCTATTTATTTAGTCTTTATGCAAAATGACATGTTTACAACTTTTGTCTCAAAGGTTCTACCGCTTCTATCATCTTAAGATTGTGGAAATTCGACATATTTGTGCAATGCCATAGGTATAAAGATCAAAAATATTCCGAGACAATAATAACTTTGACCAAGACAGTACTTATGTATACTGCATGTCTTTTTGTCTTTGACACAAGTACATATATGACACAATAAGTTTATTGTGCCAAGGAGATTAAAATGGGACAGTTGAGAGATTCCATCATAATACCAATTCCCATTTTATATGTATATCTGAAATAATTTATAAACTAATACCATGAAATATAAGAGCACCTGATGGAAAGTGATTACCATCACCTACATAAATTATTTACAATTTTATTTTACAAATAATAATATAAACTACCCATACCTTTATAGATGTTAATTGTTGCTCTAGAAGCAGTCTTTCCAATGTCATTTTCAATCACCACTACAACTGTATGTTGATCACTATCTGAGAAATAATGGACCAAAGGGAAAGTGTTTGATAGTGTCCTAGTTTTCGACATGCAAGTCTCATTGCCTGTAATGTTGTATTGCCCCAATTTGTACAACACACAGTAATCGAAGGGTGGCGACCCCGTGTACATAACCTGCAAATTGAGCAAATCTCCATGTTGGAGCCAATTTTTGCCAGTGATATTGATGACCGATATTGGTGCTGAAAGTAAAAAAAAATACTGTAAATAATCGTTGTAATTTTATGTTCTTGATAGCCTTGATCATTGTAAAGGCCAGGTTATACAATTATAATCTCAAAATTAATATTGGAAGGGTACAAATATCACTTATAATATACGTAAGAATTACAGTTTAGAGAATTATAATTCAGTTGAGATTTATACATATTCTGTTCAACAAAAATAATGACAATTATGGAATCAACATTTGAAGGACTGATAACACAAAAAGTTTTAAGCTAATATTACACATGTTATGTTAACATTAATTATAATATGAATCACAAGGAAAATATTATTTTCAAAAGATTTAATATAATTATTATTATGATATGTTCGTATAAATGGGGTAAATTTACATATGTTACATAAATGAATACTTTTAGGGCATGTCTTAATACTATTGTTAAGGGATGAAGGGGATTAGTGGTATTGTGAACTGTACACCTCATTGCTAGCAATGCACCATGTCAGGTTAGCCACCATGCGGATCCCGCTGGAAACCACCATGTTAAATTTCTGGGAAATTTGTCACGATGGGCTAACTGACCTAACCTGAGATGATCATGAGCATCTTTATCATGGTGTCCCGCCAGCGTAACCCGTTAGCGCAAACGACCACCATGGATGCACCATTCCATTATCATTCAATAGAAATAATACTATTGTGTTTTGTTTTAAATGCTTCTTTACCATGTCGGTAAGATATATTCTAATATTTATGTAAGCTGAGCCCGCTACATCATACCCGTAAAACTATTTTGTTTGTAAACACACCCAATAAAACAAATGACAATTTTTTAAAATGAAATATACCACAACTTATTAATAAAAAAAAAAGATATAAACGTAGAAACGCCAAAATTGACCATGACAAAGTCCCTCAGATATTACTGAGGAATATTTTCTCATACATCAGTCATGTACAGACAGTGTTGTAAAATAATGAATGTCAAATATGTACTTATATAGAAACATACATTATAATTAAATGTACCAGTAATATACTATAATATACAAAACAAAGTAAAGATGGGTAGCAATTTCAGTTGTTCATTAATCATAATAGGTAAATTCATTGATAATCCTCTCCAGTGTTCCAACCTACTTATATATTAAGAAAAAAATTACATTCACTCACCTCTGACACTAATCGTCTCTTGATAATATCCATATGTATAATTTTTACCTATAGGCACTATACTGGTATTATGACAAATGTAATCTTTATATGAATTATTCTTTTTCACTGTCTTATTGGACACTGCTCGTCTTACCAACTTATGAGTAGGCAGTGTTTCATTAGTATTTGATGTGATTATTTCTGTAATTGATTGGGGTGGTATTGTGGGCGTTGGTTTTGGTGTAGTTGTTGTAGTAGTTGTAGTTGTAGTGGTAGTAGTAGTTGTAGTAGTTGTTGTAGTTGTTATAGGTTGAAGAGGCTCATTGTTAGCGACCACCATAGCTTCAATATAATGATCATTCATTAAATCTGTATATGTATAATTCAGGGTAAAATCTGTAGTTTGGTCTACATAGGTACAATCTTTAAACCAATAAGTAACAATAGTTGAAGAATTCTTCTTTAAAAACTCCAATTCCTTTTTCGGTAACTCAATGCGATGGGTAACTGTGCGATTGACCATGACGAAATTGTTTGGTCTATCTTCCTGATTTTGACTCAAAACTAAATTGCCATTAAGAGCATCTGGAAAATAATAATAGTAAACTTATAATAATCCAAAAGCTGTATACATATACATCTCTATATATTAGGGGGACCGGAAAGTAATGTCGTTTTCTTACGCTATATACAACCACATACAGTTTTAATAAGTCTTTATTTTTAATCAAGAATGTACTCTCCATCGTTTTCAATAACCTTTTGCCATATACTAATTATATTTTCAATCCCTGACCGATAAAAATTAATCGGTTTTTCGGCAAAATACGTACATATGGCATTTTAATTATCATTCAAATTTGTAAAGGTTTTGGTACTTAAAAAGTGTTGCAGCGATCGGAATAAATGATAATCCGATGGTGCAATATTGGGCGAATATGGTGGATGAGGCAGCAACTCCCACCCTAATACATAATAAATTTTTTTAGTGTTCGCCTCGCGCATTGCGGTCTTACGTTGTCATGTTGGAGAATGACGCCTTTTCGGTTGACAATCGCTGGCCACTTTTCAATTAAACATTGGCTAACTCGCTGCAACTTCGCTGTAGAGGTCTGCATTAACAGTCTGTCCAGGTTGCAGTAATTCAAAATGAATAATACTGCAGATACTCTGCCAAATACACAAAAGCGCTTTTTTGGGATGTAAACCTGACTTAGCAGTACTCTGGCAGGCGATTCATTTGGAGAGAGCCACTGTCTTTTGCGTTTTGGGTTATCATACAGGACCCATTTCTCATCTCCTGTGATCAAGCGATCAAAAAACGGTTGGGAGTTGTGTCTTTGGAGCAGAAAGTTGCATGTGATTGATCGGTTAGCTTTGTTCTGTTCGGACAGATTATGCGGGACCCAAACACCTGCTCTGTTCACTTTCCCAATCTGCTTCAAATGTTCCTGGATGGTTGACCAAGGTTGGTTTAGACTTATTGACAATTCCTAGATCGTCTAACACGGATTTGCTTCCACTTCCGCCCTTAACACGTCGTTGTCAAACGTTGATGGTCTTCCTGATCATTACGAGACGCAAAGATCAAAATTACCCGAATTGAACTTGGAAAACCACCTTTGGCATTTACGAAAGTCTAATGTATTCGGATAAATATCACAAATGTTTTTGGTAGCAACTGTTTCGTTACTTTCCTTGCGAAACTCAAAAAGCATGCAATTCCGGATGTGTACCTCTTCTGGTATTTGGCTGGCCATTTTACCAAAAATTGCAAAAAAAAAAATTTTATTAAATTTTCCATAAGTCAAGATCTCATTATAACCTCACAATGTCTTTGCACCCCTCTAAACAAAACAATGAGCTGATAAATGACAGTCAAATATTGACATGCGCAGAAACGACATTACTTTCCGGTACCCCTAATATATTTGATTAGCATCTACTATTGCTGCACCACTTTACTTTCAATGGTCAAGGGTTCAATGCTCACATGGAGCAAACATTTGTATTCATGAGTATTATTGTTTGAATCAATCAGATTGTTCTCTATGTTTATTATGTGTGTATTTCAAACAAATATTTCTATCAATTAGAGATAAGCTTGGGCTGTATGAATTATCCTGGGTTATTATTATTAATTCCTTTTAAAAGTACTCAAGTGCTGCAAATCTGATATGACAGTACAAAAGAACTCATCTATAATTTCATTCTACTGTAGGGATGTAAATTTTGTATTAAAAATAGGGTATAACATAATAAAGGTAGTCCATCATAGGTTTAAGTCATTCAATAACAATTTCTTTATTATACCTAAATAACAGATATACACTTAGAATTATCAAATATAATTATCTTACTTAGTGTCAACCAAGTTACTTTGCCATTCCACAGATACTGACAATCATAGAAAATATAATATTAATTAAATTGAAATAAAAATAATTACTCTAATCACCAATAAAATACTGTATTCTATATCTATACATATAAATAAAATTGGAGTGTCTGTTTGTAATACTGAAATAACCATTTTTTACTACATGCATATAAATATAAATATGGTACATACACCAAAATAACATTTTTTACAATTTTTTGTCTGTCTGTTTGTTCCAGCTAATCTCTGAAATGGCTGGACTTAATTTACAGGACTTTTATTGGCAGGTAACTGATGTAATGATGAGTAACTTAGGCTACTTTTATTTTAGAAAAATCAAATTAAATTACATGTGGATGCAGATGAAGTAGACAGCTAGTTATTAATATATATAGATATATATTATTATATATAGTAAAGTTACTTACCGGTTAATTTAAATTCAGTAACAGCACTGGCAGCTGGATACCAAATTCCTACAAAGTTCTTCATCAGCATTACCTTGGTGCTGTATTCCCCAGCTTCATATACAAATCGAGGATATTCTACACTCCAATTTGAAACAGGGGATGACTGTATAAACTAAAAAAAATGTTCAGTATACAAATTCTATTGAAAAAAAATGGTAAGTAAGTCAAAATCAAAACCTTAAACTTTAGAGAAACTATATTCTAGTTTAATGACAAAACATGCTAAATTAATAACACATCCTAATATATATAAATCACTAGTTCCGGTAGCTAGTCCCGTTTTCACACAAATGAAAATTTCTTTTTATAGCCTATAAAAACACACAGCTTATACCTTGTGAGCGCAATTCGAGTCAGAGAAAGCATATATAAGCAAGCATTATAACTAAAAGAAATAACTAATTTGAACATAAGAGCTACAAAGTAAATTGAGTTATCCTAATAGCAAAGTATTATGGGCAAAAATACTGATTAAAATGGTTTAAATCTGTTTCAGTACTTTTTGTGTTTATAAGTTACAAACATACAAATCTTAACTCTTTATAATATTAGCATAATATAGAAACTAGAGTACTACAGGCATCTGTACATACATCAGAGACATACTCAAACAAGTCTGCACCCATCAGGCCTTCTTAGATGCCAGAACAAATCTGATATTCCAAAGAACAACAATAGAAAAACTAGATATAAACATAAATGCTCAAACAATCATAAACCTTAACAATACTGCACATTATGGTAAAAAAGGCATAATATTCACTTACTTCTGCAGAATGCTGTGGTTGGGCATTATCCCAAAAAGAAAATTTAAGACTTTCTCCATCGTAGTTTGCCACAGTTGCAGTAAAAGTTATGTAAGAACCACGAACTCCTGGTCCATCATTAGAAATAGAGACCTCAATCCCCCTTACACCTAAAAGTTATAAGTTATTTAACAAAAGAACCAACAACATGAACGAATAATTTGGCTGAATCAATTGTTTAACAATGTAAAACCATACCTTTCTCAAAAGCCAAAATACAAGAGAATAGTAATATAAAACGGGACATAACGAAGTACAGCCAGGAGCTCAGTTCTCTATATGTATTAATCGAAAAGTAGCATAAAACGACAAGCACTATTGAGTAAATACATTAAATTTTTCAGGATAAGAATGATTTACAAATTGTTATATTGTATTTTTTATGATAACTTTGACGAAATACAAAATGAATGTTTTTATTTTTAATTCGTTCGATTATCCGAATAACAATAGGGACGTGCAATAATGGAATTAACCGTAAAATAACTATAATTTATGTGTAGAGGGCGCCATTGTATAAGAAACCAAATTTGTTTAGTACAGAGGGCTGTAAAAGTTACGACAAACAGACAGAGTAATCGTACGTACTAATTAGCTGTCATTTGCATCACTTTTTCTTACCTTTCTTAAAGTTTTAAGCCGAACTCTATATATTATTGTTTTTAGACCTTAAATATTAGAATTTCTTTTTAGGACGCAACAGTACCTATCTACACTCGCGAGCAACCAAATCGACTCAAGCGCTACCTCTACATTCAAACGTTGTTCTAAATAAAAGGATACAACATTTAAATAAAAATAATATGTTATTAGAAAGCTTGAAACCAAAGTTTTAAAAAAACATCAACACCATAAAATAAAACAAGTACCAACATGTTCATTTGCGTAATAAGGGCGTATGGTACAAATTACTCACTGTGCTACCTGCGAGTTGCGTTACCTTTATAAAAACCCCCGTGACCCTTCAACCCTTATCAGTAGCTTATCAACAGTTGACCGATTCATAGCTCCGCAACCTGCATTCATTGTTTTCAAGAAACCATGGATACCGCACCCCAAGGAGCGGCTCAAGTTATTGCCTTATTGCAATAAAGATTCAGTCAGCGAGTAGTCACTTCCCAGCTTCACTTGAGTCAACAAGTTTTTTTGAGTGACAGAATAAGGAAGAATAGTCCTAGTAACCACTATAACTCTAGTTACTTTATAGTAGTCCTATTTAACTTTAACACTTTCTCTCACTAGTTGTGAAAATGTCTTGCAGTCCCAAGCTAGCTCAGGTCTTCTCGATTCTGGGTCTAGGAACTGCCTTAGTCGAAAGATCAACTAGCTGTTCATCAGTAGAACTCGTCTTCAATATATACTAGACCTTTTTGCATTGTCTCACGAACAAATAAGTGTTTGGTTCGGATATGTTTCGTCCACTTCTGAAACTCGGGATTATTTGCAAGGCTAGTCAGCTATAGCTACAATAGTCAAGCTATAGTCACTTCATAATTGACTTATAGTGTCGTAGTGGTATTCCTTCCAGACTATAAAGAGGCTAGTAAGATGGTCAAATATTCTTCGTAGCCACACTATCTCGCATGCGCCTTTGCTCGCTGCAACAATCTCTGCCTCAGTAGTAGACACGTAACTGATGCGTGTCTTTGACTAAGCCACGAAATAGCATCTCTGGCAAATAAACAGGCGACTCCTGTGGTAGAGCGCCCTGTGAGGTCATCACCTTCATAATCTGCATCACTTTACCTTTGTACTACAACTTTAGCATTTACATGATTTAATGTTGTAGGATGTTCCTTTTAAATACCTAAATATCCGTTTCATTCTTTCCCAATCAGCTTCAGTTGGATTCTTACTTTTCTTGAAACTAGCCTAACTGCATACACTATATCAGGGCGTATGCCTGTGATCAGATATGCATGTACCTACACCTACTGCTTTTCGATATGGGAACTTCAGGGTCTCCAACTTTCCCTGTTTCATAAGTCCTATCGATAGGTGTTGAGATTGGGTGGTATTCAGATATCCGTATCTATCTAAAACTCTTTTTAGCCTAATATTCCTGATTGCTGAATATTGAACTATCTTTTAATCATGCAATTCCAAAGCCAGATAACAGCGTGCTGTTTAGTTTGTTATTTCTAGCGTCTCCATCACTGTTCTAACTCCCTCTAGAACATGTTCGAAATTATCATCTCATTTCCGGGTTCTTGCTCGATAATGTGACTGTTATCTCTTAATAATCCTTCTGAAGAATTAGAGATGAGGTGGATATCCTGAATTCTACATCGGTCTCCAAAGAAATGTCTTTCGACCTTATTGTCTTCTTTGTCAACATATGTACGTCATAGGCATAATGTCCGTCATCATTCTTGTAGCCTATAAAAATGCCCGTAGTAGCTTTTTTATCCTTTCGTTTGCGATCTTTTTTTAGGTCATTTAGTGGACTAGTGGTGTCTATTAACTCAGCCCCCAAATACCGCAGATATTATTATTTACGGCATTTGTTTTCTAGCATACATCAATCTAACTCCAACCAACAGAGGTTAATATCCCCACAGACACATCAATTGAAAGAAATTGACAGATTCAGGTCCCTGGACTCTATAATCTCCAACGATGACACTATAGACCCTGATATTTCTCACCGCATCAACACCGAATGGATGAAATGGCGGCAACTATGAGCGTGTTGTGTGATAAGCGAAAGCCTGTACGCATAAAATGCAAAGTAAAGTCCATTCTACCATTAAACACAGAATCTGAATGTTAGCCTTTGAAAATATACCAGGTCAACAAGATGCACACGACCGAGATGATAATGTTAAAATGGGCAGGCGGAGTCTTCCTGTTAGACAGAGTGAGGAATAACCACATTTTTAGCAGCTCTAAAAACCGCCCTATCAAAGACAAACTCACCAATACAAGGTTAAGGTGGTATGGCCACGTAATGAATGAGAAAGAGACTAGGAAGGCCCCTACTAACATGGCAGTCCGTTATCAATAACGACATAAAGTAAAATGGTAATAAAAGACTCAACGAACCAGGACAGCTGTGCCTGGCAAAGAAGGACTAGAAATAAGTAGACTACAAATAGGTAATATAGAAAGAAAGAAAGAAAATAATAATAATAATAATAATATGGGACAAAACTTGGCAGAGAGAGAGAAAGAGTTCAATACTTTTGCAAAAAACACCTGTATTGATTTTCTTTTTTTTAATCTAATCCAAGGTTTAACTTCCCTGCCCTTACTTCTCTCTGATATTTCTCTTTCGGCTAACCTAATTGAAAAGTATCCATCTCGTCAAAAAATAGAAACCGATTTTCAGCGGTTTTACTATACTCCGGTTTCTTATAACCGGAGCAAAACAGGACACCAACTAAACTTGTTTAAGAATAATTAATCTGTGAAATAATATTTATTTATTTTATTCAATTATTTTTTTCTTTTCAATTTGTAATCAGAGTCCATAATTTGTACCTACTAATGAAGATATTTAACTAAATCATGTTTTCGATGTGATGATTTGTATTGATATTAAACATGGCTACCGTTTTCGACAGTCCTTTCATAAGACAAAGATTACATCGACTCAGGCACCGTGACTACGACTTTGATGAGGATCAACGATTTGGAAGATGTGACTGCACAAGTTATTCATACTTTGTGCTCTCAATGGTTCTATTTTCTGTGGGTACTGTCATTACAGTGCTTGCATTAGGAGATGCAGACGGCTATATTCTTAGCAATTTAGGACACATGTGGCTAGTGGGACCGATATTTATATGTTCTGGAATGATGGTTGCTGTGAAAAGTATGCTGTACCTACGTAGAAAAAGCGTAATACAGATGTTACTTCACCGCCGTGCATTGATTGGGGTAAGCATATTTTCATTCATTTAAATATAGCTGAATGACTTTTACAAAACCACAAGCATTGTAGTATTTTTCAAATAAAAATAGATCAAGTAAGGTAAAATAAATAAATAAACTTGTGCCTCAGTTCTTAGGGATAGTAAAGGAAGAGAACTGTTAATGAATTATGTGATATAGATGATGTTGTTTGTATATGTTATCATCTGCATCACATTTCTCTTTTAATAATGAGTGAATATGGGATGTTGTATATTATAAAACATAAAAATATTCACATCTCATAATAGCTATCGTTTTTTAAATAATCTATTTAACCAAGTCTTCAGTTAGTGTTTCCTGCTATAATACAAAAGAAATTAAAATATATATATTTTGTATGCATTATTAACTGACATTCAAGTATAACAGATAATTAGGATTGAATTTTATCTATACAGCTATACATATAAATAAAATTCGAGTGTCTGTTTGTAATATTGGAATAACCATTTTTTTACTACATGCATATGAATGTAAATACATACACCAAAATAACATTTTTTACAATTTTTGTCTGTCTGTCTGTTTGTTCTGGCTAATCTCTGAAATAGCTGGACCTATTTTGGCAGGTAGCTGATATAATAATGAATGCTACTTTTATTTTAGAAAAATAAAGTTAAATTCCACAGATATGAAATCGTGGGAAGAGCTAGTACAAAATAAAAATTCTTTGTCCTTACATGGATTATGTTGTGATATTAAGAAATAATTACCTATCCTTAAAACATATATCATTTGATTTAAAAATAAATAAACATATTTATAACCAATAATTCTTTTATAGGGAAGGTGAATCTTGTGAAAATTAAATATTGTTATAACTACCACAACTGTGATAATAAACAGAGACTGTAAATAATAAATCATTTAAATATTCAAAATAATTATTTGCTTCATACCAGTTATCTTTGCTATTAACTATACATTATTTTTAGGATATGGTAGCCATTCCAGCAGAACAAGCATATGGTGGGCAAGTACCAAGGACAGCTTCCAGTGCAACTTTGCCTCCCTCTTATGATGTCTTAATATCAAATGCTGCGACCAGCAAACCTCAGCCTTCTAGTTCAGAGCCTCCACCACCTACATATGACGAAGCTATGTATCTAATTAGTGATGAGAAATTGCAATTGGAAAACAAAACTGATGATAGTGTCAAACAAGAAACAAGTTCACAAACACCTGATGTTTCTGATAATAGTAAACCCTAAAAAGCTTTACTATATTACTTGTTTTTGCTAGCTATGTAAGTATAATACTTAAATTCTTCCGTTCGTACTTATAATTCCTACATTATAGTCATTACTGATATTGTATTCTTATGATGTGCCTAAAATAATTGTTAACAATTTTTATATGAGGATTTTTTGATGAATGAGAGTACCATAAAAATAGGTATATTGTTCTTGGATAGAATGAAATATTATAATTTTTCACAATGCTATTTAATTAATCTGTAATGAATATGATATGTAATCCTAAATATTTGGATATACTATTGAAATCTTAACAATAATAATACACATGAAGAATAAAGTTAGAAGTTTTAAGTTTCTATGGAAGAAAAATTCGATAAGTGCCTTTGCTTCTCTAATGGTATTCCTACTATATAGGATGTTGACATCACTTTCTCCATGGTTGTATATATTGAGTCTGGTTCATACTTCTTAACATGAGTTTTATTGCAACTGATCTGATCTACCCCTGCCCCATTTCAGCGGGTATCGATTTTACGACAGCCTGAGCTGAGGTTCAATCCTCTAGTGGCCTTCAATGTAAAGTCGTATCTATCAGGCAGACATAGGACTTCAATCATAACACATGTCCTTGCTTTGGTTAAAATGGTCAATCAAGTTTTGTACAAACAATATCGCCTAAGCAACATATTCTAGGATAGGCACTTACTAAGTCAGAAGTAAACAAGAAAATAACAAACGGCCAAATGTGACAAACATTCTTTACCCCAACGAAACTTGATGTGGGTACTTATTTACCCAAAGCAATGTTCTTTACAACTGCACCAGGGAGGTATAATGTTGTGAATGAAATATATATTTTTCTACTCTGGGTATTATTTACTGTCATGGTTAGAAATGGTTTAGAAAACTATTTCTGAGTTATAGAACTAGAAGACTAGACAATGCCAGTGTTAAACAGAGCTAATACATATCTCAGGGATAAAATTTATTGTGGTAAATTGAGAATATTAATCTAGAACAGAATTGTCCCAAACATAACGTCTGATATTAATGCGGGCTACGGCACGAATTTATGTATTGACGAATTCAGGATTTTTAAAAAAAAAAATTACGGCCAAATAAATTAATCACATCTTTCTTCCTATGTCAATAACTTTTTATGCACTTTTATTTGAAGAATTCCCAACAAGGTTTAGGCCTACAGGTGAAACAACAAAAGTTTCACCTGAAACTGAAAGGTTATTTTGTGGTACTTGTTATGTACAATTTTTAATTTTATATAGTTACAAATGTATGATTTTATTAATATTAACTGTTATTATATATAAGGCTTCATTGGTATACTCTACATATTTATATCAATCAGAAAAATAAACACTTCAAGCACAGGAGCCTTAAATATGCAATAAATAATAAACAATATGTTATACAATACTAATATAGCCTATACCTACTTGTAACCACATGTTTGTGTTGAAAATAAATACTATGAGCTACATAAAAGATATTGTATACATAATGCAATTTTTGTAATAAAATTGTAGTTGGTACTAAGAATTTTATTTAATTATTAATATTAATATTTAGTTTGAAACTTGAAAAAAACTTTTATAAGCATGTAGGACATTAGAAGCAGTTACTTAATTATATATAATATTTGGGATTTATAAGAACATATGTAATGTCAATATCAAACCCATTAAACATTTTACAAAGTTTTTTACTACAATGGTTCTATGTGTGTGAATACTGATGTTTGTGTGAGCCAACATTTTATTTTGTGCTAAATACTGGCATGTTTATATTATAGCATAATGTCTATTGTTATTTTGAGGGAGTAAAAATATGTGTTGAATAGCCTTTAATGTATCTTACATATGCCAAGTTTTCTCCACTGTAGTGATCTTTTATAATGATAAAAGAATTATTCATAAATATTATATAGGTCCCTAGTTATATATTTACGCGTGCCTCCTATAGTCCTTTAAAAAATATATATGGCATGATTTGCAATTAACTGTTGCAAAGACTGATGCATTTACTTTTAAATTATATGTATATAAATTGTTATCCATTACACTGAAATAATAAATTGTTATACTCTGATGATTATTTACATATACATTAATATTGATCTGAGAATCTTAAGTAAGTAATAATAGTTACTAAGAAGTAGAAAGCAGTATATGTGTATCATACTGGTTTCTCTTTTGTAGTAATAAGATTATGGGAAGTAAATAGGTAGATGTCTACATATTTGCCATAAATACTTAAACATAGGAATCTTTATCACAGGAATAATGTTATTATTATAAGAAAGAAGTCTCACTAAATTATTATCACACAACTATAATTATTTTAACAATTATTAATATATACTGTGTCCCTATTACAGGAAAAAGACACACTACATAATATTGTTTAATTATGGATGGTATAAAAACATTGAAAGAATGATTAATTCTATTTTTGACCTAGAATTGATAATGAATAAAGGACAAGTACATATATTTTACTTGCATATATTATAGACTTATAAGTATATTTTATAGTAAATATTGTGGAATAATTGCATTTTGTGGCCTACATTTTCTAATATTATATACTTTTATAAATTGTAAATGCCATAGAACAATTGTAAATAACTAATAGGATTGGAATGTTTCTAGGGAGATAACTAGATGAGTCAGATTTTAAACAAACGATCTGTATTTATTGTATTTATTTTTGTAGCTCACCTCCTTTCTTTAGGTAAAGTTATTGAAAGTCTATATAATATGCCTTTGATAAATCAATAATGTGCCTTTAATTTAAAGTTGCAATTCATATATTTATAGATCTAATCAACACATAATAAATAGGTAAATAAGACAGTACTTAGCAATAAAAGATTTTGCTGATTGTGTAAATACTTAATTTTATTCAAAATAATTTGTTCTTTGCAAGTAGCAATAATTTAGCTATTCTTGAAAAGGAAGATATAGAGACAGTCTTAGTTATGTACTTATATTTTTGTTGTTTTCTAATTTGATGTTATTACAAACATTATTACAAACTCCTATATGTATACCTAGCAAAAAGTGTCTTGATATACTGGAATTCTGTAATTATTAGTACCAAAATGCATTCAGAATCAATGTTATAAAAGTGTGCTTAATTAAGCATTTAAATTTTAATATTGAAAGTTAATATACTACTTACGAAAAAATTGTCAGAACTTAAAGTTCATCAGTAATAAGAGCATTAGTTACTTGATCTCCCGGGCACTCTTACTTTAATTATACAATTTCCTGAATTATTCCATTGTTTTATTTAGAAAGTTTGACAATATACAGTATTTTTTATTTAAATTGAATTACCTTCATGTAAGGTAAACTGAACAAAACACAACAAACAAGAGTAGTGTAAATACAAACAAATCAAAACATATTTTGGTAAATTGTCATGCATTTATGTTAATCTACCAAAATATTTGGCTCTAAAACAAACATCTCTCAGTTGTGGCCATTGAACAACAACAATATCTGCAAAATATTGTAATATTTTACCAGTTAGAGACAGTGTTCTTACTCTGCATATACTTTCAACAAAAACTATTTTACAATCTAAAATGAATACACAACGTAATAAAAAAGCAACAACACAAACTGGCACACAAGTGCCTGGTCCATTACAAAATATTACATTTGGTTTAAAATTATAAACCACAGGTACAGTTAAAAATGTTGAATACAATGTACTTACAACTGATGAATAATAAGATTGGTTTACATTTCTACTTCTAGGTATTCTACTAACAGAGAAGTTAGTGCTTTCAATGTTAAGTATTTTCACTTCACTACTCACATCATTATCAGCAACAATATACAGACGAGGTTGGTATTTCTGAGTACTCAGGTTTTTTACAAGCCGCAATAGTTCAGTAGTGTGGCCTCCAGATCCAATGCAGAATATAGTTCTTAGTTTAGACTCTTGGCTTAGTAATTTGCAGTCACATGTGCAGATTTGAAAAATTAAGTATACAGCTCGAACTAAAAATGCGGTTGGTGCCAATAATGTTAAAAATAATACTATACTGAATCCTTCCATCCTGCTAATTTCTTCTTAATGGTAATCCAACTTCTATAAAAATAAAAGATAATTTAAATAGGTACTTAGTTAATGTAATATATATATATATAATAAAATCGTGATAAAAAGGTGAAAGTTATCTGTTTGTTTCCATTAAATGGCTAGAGGAGTTACGATGAAACTTTCGATGAATTTGTTGAATATGGCAGAGAAGAAGTAGTAGACACAGAATTTGTCTCCTGGTATTTTATTACATTTTCATTGTGTTGACGAAATATTTAGATGATTCTGTAGCTATTAAACATTTTTATTTAATAAAAGTTAATGTTTGGCCATATTCATTACCAGACTTTGAGTGCGTTGTCTTAATGACAAATGTTGATCATTATCACGAGGATTGGTGTAATAAAAACTTTCGGAGGTTTTCATTTTATAAAACGATGCTTACCTAAACAATACTGCAACTGTATCTACACAACATACTGTAGTAACAATAAAAACAAATTCCCGACAGTTTTGAACAACCGGTATAAATTCAAAGAGAAAAAAAGTAAAGCAATCAAATAAATATGTTTGACAAATTGAAAACTTAAATCAAATCATTAATTACAGAATCAAACAATAAATTTAAAACGCTTAGATGAAGAATATAAGTCAATTCTTCAGCCAAGGAAAACGGTAAACAAAGTTTTTTCATAGGTTGTGTTTTTTCATACATTGACGGCTTCGACGTCGGATTTTTTTTTATTAATATGTTTTACGGCTCTAGATACAAGTCGTTTTTAGCCCAATCGGACTTACATTGGTGTTTCCATTACTGTCGTATTATGCAAACGAATATTTTTTTTTGTGGTTTCCGTATATATAGTATTAAGCTACAAACCATCACTTTTTTCATTAAATGATCTAAATATTTTAAATAGGTGCTTGTTTTATGAAATATGACACTATGCTAAGGTCATTTCTTATAAAAAAGGCAAATAGTCTTTGTTTCAGTGAAATATAAAATTTATTTTGATGAAACAATCTTATAGTTATGGAAACCTGTACGTATAAGAGAAATCAAATCAAAGAAACCGAATAAGTATAAAATTTAAAAATATAACAAAAACCGTTACTATTAGTCCCGAGTATAACACAATAATGTATATATACTTCTTAAGTTAAATTGTATTTTATGTCCCTGGGGTTACTTTATTCTTTAAGTAATCTATAAGATGTAATTAAGAGGCTTATCCAGCTACACAGGGATTGTTATCCCCAGAGATTGATGCAAATAAAGAGATTCGCCCCGAGGCCCCAACCTTCACCCCTCTAGATGGGTGCGCATTACTATCATTGTTGTTATCTGTCCATCGCATTTATTTTTCTTGTGTCACTGTCACTGTCACAGACATCGTTCTACTTTCTGATCGGTACAGACGTTTAGACGGTTTAGATTTTATTTCATAATATAAATTCAAGAAAAATATTTGCTTTTCTTATTTATGAATAATTTTTAATGTAAACTATATTATTAATGTGATTGAAAATGAAGTTAATAAAAGTATTTGGTTCTAGTATTTTTCAAATTATCTCAATAGTATTTGTTATTGGATACCTTCTGGGTGCATTAAATTTACATTTCACCGACAAAAGTAATTATTGTCTAATGACTTATATGTTTGAATTTCCTCAATTTGTGGTGAGTTTATAAATTAAATATTTATTCGTTAAAATATTTTAATCTATTCTTATAGAATTTATTTGTCTTCAGGCAATATCTGTGCCTGAAAATAGGATATTCCCACAATATGGACTGTACGCCTACAGCGAGGGGAGGCTTACTGAGAGAGCTAGAAAAATGTGGTATGTATTATTGAAAAGGTACTTTTAATCAATATTGATGTTACATATAAAATAATTTAATATATTCCCTTGCTTTTGTTACATTATTTGGCATATGTTTATGTCCACTTTTTTCTCAGTCCCTATTTGTATATTATTTTTAGAGTTATAAACTAAAAAGGTTATTATAATTGTTATAAAGGTGGTTATTATATTATGATGAGATTTTATTATAATAATTATCCATTATCTAAAATGGTACTATATCACATAATGCCATTTTAGATAGATAGATAATTAAAATCTCGTTAAAAGTGGCATTGGAAATAATTTCTTTTAAAAATAAATTAGGAACTAATGTCTAGCAACTAATTTAATATTATGTTACTTCTTAGTTAAAAAATCTTGTAGCTAAACATATTTAATATATGTGTCTTCATTCTACAGTGAATGTGTGACTGTATTCAATAAACATTACAATATTAATGAATAACTTTAAAACAATCTGTTATGTTTAAGGTTTGATGGTGTTCCAGTTTTATATCTACCTGGTAACTCAGGGAGTCATATGCAAGCTCGCTCATTGGCATCTGTTGCTCTGAGGAAAGCCTTGGATAGTGGAAATGAATATCATTTTGATTATTTTACAAGTAAGTAGGCCTTCAATATTTTTTTCTGTGTCCTTCCTGCAATCACTTGAAGACTATGAATAGATGTAGTAAAAGTTATGTGCGGGTGCAGTGGGTACTAAATTTAAAGCAATTTTAGTTTCTACTATCTTAAAATGTTTGTTTCCTAAATCCACCTGTTACTAATTACATTTAATTGTCAACCTGATATGACAAGAAGTGAATTGTATTTAAATTAAGCAAATTTTTAAGTTTATTGATGCACATTGCTTAAGCACTGTGCATCAAATAAACCTACCATCTTCTACCTAGCAGAAAATCCCGACTAAAAAATAAAAATCATGCTTATGGATGATCTAATAAAAGCTAATTGGCTGATCGCAGATAGATAAAAGAGAAAAAAAAAAAAAATATAGGACATTTGAGTAACTTTTGCATTATCAAGTTTTTAGATTAAATTGAGAAGAATTTATTTCTTAATTTAATAATAGATGTTTACATTGCATTAAATTTTGTTTAACTGTGATACTTATATATTTTTATATTTTCTTTCAGTTAGTTACAATGAAGAACTGTCGGCATTATATGGAGGAGTGTTGCAGGATCAGACAGAGTTTGCATCAGCATGTATATCGAGAATACTCAGCCTCTATAAAAGCAATAGATATACAAAGAATGTACCAACATCTGTTATTTTAATTGGTCATTCCATGGTAAATGTTTACAAATGTATATATTGACATTCATCTTCAGTAGTGTTGTATGAATTGCTTAACAAGAAATAGTGTGGATAGATTGAGCATCTGCACTTTTTTCAATTTTTTTTTAACATTCATGGGTACAAAGTAGTGGGTAGGGGTCTTTATGAAATAATGTAGACTTACAGTTAAATATTTCTATAGGGAGGTCTGATCGTCAAGCGTCTTTTAGCATATCCAAGTACATTAAATACAACATCAATAGGAATAACACTGGCTGCTCCATTGCAAGCACCTGTCATCAACTTTGATATGGCTATGAATGATTATTACAAACTGATTGATATTGAATGGGAGCAAAATGTAAATAGAGAACCTGAAGTTAAACAAAAGAAATTCTTGCTAAGCTTTGGTAGTGGCCCAAAGGACATTTTAGTGCCATCTTGGTTGACATCTTCTAATGAAAGTTTTATATCTGCATTGGTAAGTTATAACATTTTGATTTAATTTGTTGGTATTAATTATATGTATTCTGTGTGGTATTTTTTTACTCTAATGTGTTGAATAAAATTATCAATTGTAAATTTTTATAGCACAAACTGTCCTTGTGTAATATGAATTCAAATCAGCAAATTAAATAAATTTTGCTTTTATCACAACATTAATGGGAATGCTCTAACTACCCCAAATATGATTGCAGCTGTGATGGTGATATATTTATTAATTAAAGATTGCTCATTTGTTTTAGACTTCAGCTGTCCCAGGGGTGTGGGTCACTACTGATCATTTGAGTATAGTGTGGTGTAAGCAGCTTGTTATGGCAATTAATAAATTTCTGTTCTCTATTATTGACCCTTGGACTGCACAGATCAAGGAAGACAACCAAATATTAAGTTCCAAAGCCAAGGAATACTTCCAGGTATAGTAAAATAAGAACTATAATGGCTTATAATATTTGTAATTGTTTTAAGTCTTATAGTGTGTATTAAGTATTCACTGAATTTTTTTATTATCCAAGTTATTGGTATAAATAAATCGAGAATTAAATTAAAAAGTAGTTGTAATAAATATAGAATTTTATTTTTAAAAATATGTACTTGTTTTTATAATGTTGTAGACAGCCTCCGTGGTTTAGCGGTATAGCACACTGCCTTAATTCCGATGGTCGCGCGTTCGATTCCTCGCACAGCACAAACATTTGTATTTCTGAGTATGATTATTTGTATTGGTCTGGGTGTTGTCAATGTTTAATATTTATATATTTACGAAAAAAATATCTGTGATCATAGATAGAGATAGATCATATAATATTGTTTTTAACACATGCTCTTGCTGGCTTAACTTGGGTCTAGATGGCGCTGTGTAACTTGTCCTGGGATTATTATTACTATTAATATATATTTAACACTGTTTTTAGGCCAATCGTTCAATGTTTCTGAGTCCAGATATAAATCGCCCAAATGTAACCATGATAATGGACGCATTTTGGTATGAGGATAACAGACGAATCTATCAAATATCAAGACCAGAAATAAATAAGTAAGTTGTGACTAGGATGACTAATTTGAACTAAATTGTTTTGGAAATTATTGTTTAATATCTATTTAATCAGGAAAAGCTACATATCAATATAGAATATCTTAAGTTTCTGATTCTAAGCACAGACATTTTCATATATGACTATTATGTGAGCATCCACAAAACCTTTAAAAACGCGAGATACAGTACAAGTATATACTTATACCATTCCACGCAATTAGAGTGACGAAATTATCTTCTAAATAGCAGATATGTCAGAAATCATAAATCTTTGCCAACACACTGGCATATTTCCAAACGTGGAAACAGTGATTTTATTTTAAGATTACACCGTTGCGTCATCATTATTTCCTGTTTGTATATTCTGTTCATTGCGAAGGCAAAAGATAAGATTAATTTGGTAGACATACTTAGATCGTTCTTTTTTCAGTACTTGTAGAAGTATAGAATGTAATTAACTTGTCTAAAATATTAAAAGATTGGATTATTTGTAATGCATGTAAGCTAAAAGAATACATGTTGGATATATTTTTTTAATTCCTTCACCTATAAAACCTACATGATGACCAAGTAATATGTGCCAGCATATAGCTGGAATAGCTTGTCTAGTTCTACATATCTATCTTCCGGATATTTAAAAGTACTTTCACAAAGTTTTGAGATTTTGTTAAAAAATATTACAATAAACCGACAGAGAAGCTTATATTTGCTTTAAAAACTTAGTTTCATTATGATGTCTTGTCCTATTATTGATAGTAATGCAATATAGAATGTAGGTTATCAATTAAATCCATTTGACTAACATGATGGTTTTTTTGTTGCCTGATTAGATTAGTTGCTATGAAAATGAATAGTCATGAAGATGATAACATCAATCAATAAAATTAGAGAATGATGGTATTCAAGTCCAAAATGCCAAATGTTATTGTCCTAGTAATAAGTTTATAGTATTCATTGATGTCGGTTCCTATTTTTAGGACATGTAAAATATCCATATTAAGTACAAAAGAGTTTACGCCTCATTTACTAAAAACATTAAATAATTTAGCTTTAGAAACTAAGTTCGCACAAATAATGTTGTTCCAGTAAATAAAAGTATAAGCATTATAATACAAACAAATATGTATTAAGATTATGAATTTTTAACTCTATTCCAGTGTTATAGTTAAAGTAATTTCTATTACATTTATTACTTATTTTTTATGTTCTTCTTAGTTTATTGTTATGTTGTTTTTTTCAGAGCTACATATTTAATGATCAGATTAATAAATTTCCCCCAAAATCGATTTGTGGCTATAGAATCGATTAACATGACTAATAAAGATTGGATATTTGGTTGTAACGCTAAATATACAGCCTCCAATTATAGATATTGGTAAGTGGTTTTTGATTTTATCGTTTAAACTGGCACACATACTATCACGTATATGATTAATATGTAAATCCTTCAGTCTTCATCTTTATCTCATTGATAACTTTATTTGCTCTTGTACAAAATCTTTAAAGTTATCTGTTTTATTATCATTTTACATATTCCATTATTCAAGTAAAATATATCCGGGATGTGTCCAATATTACAAATGAAATATTTTATTATGACTCATTTATTGTTATATTCCGTTATTTTTATTATTATTATATATTTCAATTGTTTAATGCCACTGGATTAAATCCTTACTCTTTTGATGCGGATTAGTTGTCAACACTCAAAAACCGTAGGTTCGAATACTGTCATATTAAACTTTGGAACTTAAATATTTTTAGCATTCCATTACATTACTCATTGGATATATTAGAAAAAATACGAGTTTTATGAGAATAGCGATAATTAAAAAAGAACCGTTAATTGACAATTCAATTCATTACTAGATAAATATATTACAACAGTTTTGTTTCATTTAGTCGACAATACTGACATTATGTTTACTTAATAACATAGTTGTTAGATACAGTAAGTACCGAAGTAAAATTTATGAGAAGCTACATTTGTTAAGATATGCAAGGTCTTGCATCAAAATAAAATTTTGAATGCTCTCGTGCTGTTTTATTATATTGTTATGAAACATTCCAGCAAATATGGTACATCTTTAACCGAATTAAGCCGTTGGACTGGTGCTGCAAATGGCTTTGGTAAACGTAAATTGGCAACTGTGCATCTTCATACTATAAAAAAACAACATCCCGATTGGAGTCACGTGGTAGTCAAAGTATCACCGACCAGGAGACCGGTAAATGTTTACTTTTTTGTTAAGAGGTAGGATTTGTAAGTTTCATTGTCGAGTTTAGTTCCAGAATACGCTAAAGTTATCAATTTAATATCTACTCCTTACATTTCAATAGTCTGTATTATGAGTACGTTGAACTTACTACTTTCACTCACTTATGTATACTTGTATACATCAGTCAGTCAAAGTAGTAAATTTCGCAACTGTGCGTCTAGAGTACTAGTCAATTTATTTTAAACTGATATAGATAATTGAATATCACAAAATTTACTGAATAAAATCTATACTTTCGTATATAGGTGGTTTAGAGTATTGAAAACAGCGTTACAAATTTTATTTTAAGGTGTTATTATATTTATATATTTTACGCAGTTTGATGTTAATAAATAGGTTTTGTACCAACAAAGCATAGAATCTGGATCATAAAAGGCATACAGACAGGGACATACCCCTGTCTGTATGCCTTTTATGATCCAGACATCGAACATTTGCCAATGCCTTTAATTAATGAAACTGGAATTTCAGTCCTGAATGTTTTATCTTCTTGGTACTTCCCTTTATTATAAAAATTATAGTGAAAAGTAAGGAAATGAGCAAAAAATAATTAACTGTATTTATTAAGAATGCAATGTTTTTTTTTATTTTCGAATAATTGTTAGAGACCTTCAATACATTTTATTATATCTTATGTAAATAATACCACTTAATCTTTCTCTATGTCCATTTTGGTATCTCACCAAATATATAGGATGCTGATTATTCCTATCCCATCCCAAATTATGTATTCACTATTGCATGCACAAAGTGTCTGCTAATAATATTTCTATTTTATAGGTAACTTTAAATGTTGATATAAACGACCACGCATCAAGAGAAATTACAGTATCATTGCCTTCCATTTTTTCATTTGGAAAGTCAGTAGTTAAGGCGGAAACTGAACAAGATAGTCTGTATTACGAACTTTTGTTGCCTGATTTCAATACGTTAGATCAAGCGTATTTGCTGTATGTGGAACCTACGCCGAGTTGTAAGGCAATACAATATCACGTGTCTGCTGAGATGCATGTTCCATGGGCGAAGAATCATGAATACTATCACTACTTTACGTACGTATTTTAGATTTACTATTATGTCTTCTTTTTTATTTCGTATAAGTCCCTCTATCGGCTCATTTAAGAAAGGATTAAAATCGCACTACCTCTCTTCCATTGAATATTAAGTTTCATCGTTGTCGTATGTATTCATGTTTATATATGTTTATAATGTATTTCTATAACTTTTAGGTATATATTGTATTAAATATACATATACATATTGTATTGGACTTTAATTAGTTATGTTCTCTTTTCAAACAATTATTATTTGCGCTTTTGTGACCCCCACACTACTTTCTGTGTCACTCTGTTTTAGGTAGACTGGAAGTGATCTCTTTTAGAGATAAGACCTTTGCTAACGAAATTCCTAACATGCACTTTAAAATATTGTCTTCAAATGTGCAATATATAATATATACTCGTAGGTGTAGGTGACCAGATTTAAACTTTATACAAATTCGTTTGCGATTGGCTGAAATGGATGATACAGAGGGATCACGTCTATCTTATCCATTAAGCCCACTACGGTTGGAGCATGATACATGGTAGTGAAATTACAGTGTCTGGAGGCATATATTTAGGTCCTCCGAAATGGCGATGTGCATGGTGTCTTATAATGACGTGACTATGTAACTAAACCAGTTACATATTATTTCTACCTAACACGTATGTAAGTGACCTGATCTTGAGGGAAATAATAGGCATAAAGATATATACAGATAATAACTATGTTATTACTATATTCACTTAATGCAAATGACTTCAACAACACAAGTATTTTATTCTTATTTAAAATTTCAACACTTTATTACTTATTTCACAGCCTCGGTGGTCTAGCGGTTTAGCACGCCGTCATACTGTTTATACATACGGGTTCCATTCATCACACGGTACAAACATTGTATTCATGACAATGATTGTTTGTATCGTTATATCGATTGTTTATATTGTTAGTTCGGGACTAGATGTTATTTATGTAAGTGTTAATTATTTTGCAGACAGTTGAAGCAGACGCCAATGAAATTACGACTCTTCCAAAGTAACCCTAATGTCACAGTTGGATCAGAATCCACACAACACGTTAAAATAACATTGTTGTTGGACCCTCAATGTACTTATACTATAAGGTAAAATGCCTGGAATATATTTTTTTAGTTATATACTCGTTTCTACAGGTATTTTAAAAGTTTAATAACCGTGTTTTTTATTTTAGTCAATCATTATTATTATAGAGCATTACCTTTAGAATAATTACATACCCGTTAAGTACATCACCATAAAAAAAGACATTTTCACTATATTACATAAAAAGTATTATATATATATATTTTTTTTTCAGTATATCATCTTCATGGTACCATCGCCTAGCACAGTTGGCGCGAAATTACACACCTGTGTTGGTGCCATACATTGCTGCTATAGTCTTGTTAGCAGCCAGAAGCAGCATTCTGCATTTACGCGAGCACGGCACGTGCCTGTCAATACACGGAGCGCTTATGAGCGAAGGTGTTAAGCCATATTACGCTTTAGTGTTTGCTAGATTCGGTGCTGTTGCATTGATGTAAGTGATTTTGTTAAAAAAGTAATAGGTTATAGTACAACGGCACAATTGTCTTATACAATTATTTAGTACTATTGTAATTTCGAAGAAGGTTATAATGAATCTAATGGAGAGTAATCACTGCATCATAACAAATATTTACATTCCAGAATAGTCAATAACCTATGTTAGTAGCAAAATATCGAATGTACAGGTATCAAATTATTATATTCAATAATGAAGTCATAGTTATATTTCTTTGAAGTTACTATTTAAAGTAAATAAAGAATAGAAAGTTTTATATGAATGTGGATGGTTATAAGGGCAGAGAAAGGCCGAAAAGAGATGGATGGGCGTGTAAAAGATGATGTGGTAAGAAAAGGAGTAAATAACGGGATGACTGCGAACAGGGATGAATGGAATAGAAAACATATTAAGCGGACCCGAAATAAATGGGGTAAAGAAGAAGCAGATGATGATGATAATAGAAGTAAAACTTTTTTTAACCGAGATGTACCTTTTGAGTAATTAACGAACGGTCAATAATATTAATAATTACTGGTACTCTATTCTATAATAGTATACAGAATATTTTTTATATATTGACCGTTCTTGACACTAATCGATATTATGCTACAATGGTAGCATAAGTATTTCTGATGACTGTGAGGTGTATTCTTTGATTTAAAATATTTATAGCTTGGACCTATCGATTCAATTTAATTAAAATTAAATTTGTGTGAATTGTCTAAGCCTACCATTTTAATTGCTTGCTGTTTGCAGGTCAGTACCATTTCTATCATTTATACTCGAGAATGCAAGTTGGAACAATCAAGAGTTGCAGTACTTCACCCGTTCGCTTATAGTATTACCAGCGTACATGACCGCTTTGGGCGTTCTAAATATAGCGGTGGCGGCAATGATATTGATCATGGTGTTTTCATCTCAATTGGCTCATCGATTGCTATTTAGGTACTTTGTTAAAGTTATGTAATTAAGATTCCAGGTGTAATATTTATGTCCATCAGAGGGCTGCAGTGGGCTGATGGTGATGATGTAATACTCAATCATCATTTTGCGACTATGTGTCCATTCTTCCTGTTCTCACAGCACTATACTTAAATAATATTAATGGAATATTATTTAAGTATAGTGCTGCTGTGAGAACAGGAGGAATGGATTATTTGTCCAGTCTTCATAGTGTGCTTATATATAAATTTAAAATTTTTGATAGTTTTACGAATTGAGTTAGAAGATTTTTTTATTGTCCTGGTGGCTCGAAATTTAAAGCGGAATGTGTTATTATATATTTATTCTTTCTATATTCTACCTCGACAGACAACAACTTAGTCGTTAGTAATGACATTCAATGATATACCACACATATTACAATATATTCTGTATGCTTGTATGTATACAAATAAAGGTCACCGCAGTCTATCAGGTGGACAATTACTAGTTTGTTATTTCAATTACATAAAGTTTTTGCCTAACATTTATTCAGAAGTCGGCAGATATATGTACATATGGAGGCGTCACAGATGTATTTTTAATACAGGATAGTATGGCGGGGCAGTAGTGGGTTTGCAGAACGGGTGGCGTCCGGCCTACAGAAGATACCCATACTGGTAACAGTGACATTGGTAGCAGCGGTGCCCCTCTCATGCGGAGCAGCCGCTCTTGTTGCTGGCGCAGCCTTCTATGCCTTTATGGTAAGAAGTTAATAAGTTAAAGTATTAAGTAAGTTTTTTTACTATTTTAAGGATATAGATTTGAATACGGTATATGCTGTCAATACGTTTAATAATAGACATAAAAATATTTTAAATTCTATTACAAATGTCATAATGTGCTGTTGGTGCTACAAAGAAATAAAAAAATATCGTGTAGTAGATTGGTTATAGAGAATATAAAGATTATTTTTCTACTTATCTGTTAGATAGTTTACGGGAAATAAAAAATAACTTTTGAGTGGTACTTCCGTTCAACAACAAATACAAAAATGATAAGATAACCAATGTTGAATGATCACAATTTTATCCGTGTTTACGTCCCATCTTATTTATTTTATTAAGACTTCTGAAATTGGATTACAAAAAAAATTATGCTTACTTTCAGCTTTCAAAAATGTATGAAGAATATTTGGAAGATTATGTTTACAAATTTATGGCCAAAGTCATGTCCAAGATTTGTCGTATTTTCAAATCAAAAAATAGGGATGATAAAAGCACCTCTAAAATAACAAATTCGACTGAATCTGCCGCACTGTTACCAGCTACGGAGGATGAAAAAGAAAACCCTAATGTAGAAACAGATGGAGAGGAAAATATTAAAAATGAGCCTAAAGAGATTGAGAGTGCAGAACAAAATCATAAAGTTGTCTCAGTACTTGAATCGATAGAAAAGCAAGATGAAGGAAATTCAAGCATCAATACTGATCAAAATATTGATGAAGATGTGATTAACAAAGTTGATGAGGATCTCAATAATATACATTTCCATATGATGCTTTTCTTACTGTGGATATCGGTTACTATGGTCAATGTACCTGCTTTATTGACATGGGCGCGAAATTTCAAGTGAGTTTATTTGCTTCGTTCTGTGCACACTTGTCTCTGTCTTGTCTGTCATCTATTAATAATAATGTTTTATACAGTAAATATTACAATTTTAAATCAATGTATACATACACTATATTATTTATGTTTATGAGTAATGATTCCCTTGTAATTTCAAATGTTTTGCACCAGAAACTGAAGGGACCATGTCTTTTTTTTTCTGACGATCTAACTACTAGATTAGATCTAGCAATTTTATATAATGTTGTTGTTTTAGATACACTATGGTATTGAAACCAGATACTTCATATCATGCGGGCTTAATACTTTCCTTGTGTTCTGGCGTTGTATGGCAGCTAAATGGTCCAAGAAAAAAATTGTGAGTATAAAAGTAGTACTGTTGGATCGTCATAAAATAATTAAAATAACTTGGAAGATTATAGCGTGCCGTGCGGTATTCAACGACCAACTGCCGCCGGCCTCCCGTTGCCCAACCGCTACCAGGGTATCCGTTGCTTAGCAACGAGCCAACAGCGCGAGGCTACCGGCGGGTGCGCCGCTATATATATATCTACTTACGTAGTGTATTACAGTACTTGTTAAAAAATCAGTTACCAAAACTGGGCGCATATCCATTATATTTGGATCCACGAAGATATTTGAATCCAATTTGAAATTAGCAGTTAGGACAAATCTTTTTATACAAAAACTTATGTTTGTCTTCACGGCTATATATTAAGAACTGTATATAATATCCTTATTCAATATTTTTATTTTTTCAGGAAATACTATGATGCTGTTTCTGCATTATTATTCACGATGGCAGTATGTGTATTAGCCTTAGGGCCTTTGTCTTTAATGGTAGTCAACTACGGTGTAACATTTATGTTTGTGGTTATCACAATACAGCAATTATTTGACAAGGAAGAACCAGTAGATAGTGCATCCTTAACAAATGAATTTGAAAAACAAACGAACGAAACTGCCAATGAAATTCCTAGTGAATCCAATACGCAAAGTGATGGTAACGCAGAACATAGTTCCTCAAGTGAGACTCCAAACACCGATACTCCTGGTGAAGATTGTGACATATGCAGTGAAAGTAGAATATACAATGTTTTTAAAAATCTCCGAGAGAAAATAACGTTGAATGAAGATTTATAATATTTATTGAAATGGAAAGATCACCCATAGGTTAAATAAAAATTAATGGTTTTCATAGACCCCTTGTGTCTTCATAAATGTTTGTTGAAAACTGCAGGTGACTGCAACTAGTCTTTAATTTTCTTAGTCTTAATGATTAATTATTTATTGCATATCTTTGTGCAACTCGGGTGTTACTATTACGCTTATATAAGCTGGTGGCCGAAACTGGTGAAAACTAACTAACTGGTAAAAAGCATGAAAGTTATTTAGCGGGACTACTAAATTTAATATTGTACAGTCTTTGGGTCATATAAGACTCTTTACCAGATTAATATTTATTCAAATGTATTTTTATATGTTGAAAGATAGATTAAAATTGTTATAAATCTATTTTAACAACTAGAAGTGTAGAGTGTGAAGGCAAATGTTATTGTTTTTGTTTGTTAACAGCTAAATATTGTATGGATAGTTACTACGATGACCATTTATCATGACATAACAAAATCAATAGAATAGTTTCATAAAGAAATAATTGATAAGGTCTATCATATCTTTTTATTAATTATATATATAGTATGCTAGCTTGAGAAAGAATATCTGAGTAGAAACTTTCTTGTTGAGTGGTGAATGAGAGTTGCACAACTAGAAACATTTTATGTAATTAATGACAAAATAACCCGAATGAATTGTGAAAGTGTGATATCCCACTTTGTCTTGGGGGAAGAGGCTATTATAAAAGTTTGTTGTTGTAGTTAATATGGTCATTAATTAAATTAATATTTATTTATTGATATATAGATAAAATTTGGTGCTAAATATACAACAGAGAAATAAGTTCATTGAATACTTCACAAATTTAGTAAAAAACATATTAAATATAATAAAGATAAAAAAAAACCAAGCCTATAATTATCATGTATGTGACTTTGGTTCTGATTTGACTACTCTTTTGAATGAGTGTAAATAAGAATATTAATGTTTATGTTATGTATCTACTAGTTATGGATAAATTTTGATTGTTTTTTATTTTGAACCTATCTATGGAATGTTTTAAAATGTCTAACCATGTGTCAGTAAGTAATTTAGTGTTTATTACATGTATTATTATTGGTATTATAATTCTCATACAGGGATGCATTTTAAAATATTTCAAAGATGGTTTTCTCCAAAACGTATATTACTACTGAAATGTAAATATAGCAGTAGTATAGCCATGAAAACAGAGTTATAAAGCTGTTGTTACAGTTTTAATGGTGTTCAAATATGTATGAGAACACCATCTAAAAATATTTTTGTAAGATGAAAATAACATGTTTCTAATAAGAATAAATAAAGTGTATTCATTTTATGATGAAATTGGTAATCATTTCTTCTTGGATGACTAGAGAGGTATAGGTTCCACTGAATCTTAATTATATGGTATGATATATTAAATAATTTATAGTCAGACTGGTGCCTTGTTCCAAAATCCTCTCAATTTCTCCACAATTAATTTCTATCATCCATAAAAGAGACATGTTGAAATATCATAAAGAAGATTGATATTTATATGTACAGTAAGTACTAACAGACCATAAACAAATTCAAATCAATAACATCTGAAATAAAATTGTGAATGAACATAAAATATGGAATTCAATCTTATTCCTACTTTTTATTATTTATATTTACTCCTCTTGACCATTTAACAAAGATAAAAATTCTTATTAATCTCAATTTACATATCCAATATTTTGGATCAGTAATATTATATTGTTGCTATACATTTACTGTAGCAGAGCAACCAAGCTTCTCATGATCAACCTCATCATTATTTGGTACTGAACATGCTTGTTCAGAACCACAACAACATATTAATTCTGATAGCTACATATAATTTTTGACAAATTTTACATGAGCTATTTTTAATTTAATTTTATATTATTCTATTATATATATATATATTACAAACACAGATACATTTTGGAATAAAAGTAACTAATAGGCTAATTTAACTGATATTTTTATTTACAAGTAAGATAAAACTGTATACAGTTGGCGTAAATCAGAAATGGGGGCACATAGGAAGAACATGAAAAAAATATTGAAGATTTTCCAGATATAAAATTATTTTATTTTATTATACACACAAGACTGCATGGTAAGACTATTAAACTTACAACTGAGTCACAAGTCTCGGAATGTACTTCAAGTTTCTCTCTCTCTGTAAAACAAAATGTAGCACTGTAACACACAGTCAATTTGTCTGAGATAGAAAAATAGGAGAACAAGGAAGAATAATAGATAGATGTGTGTAGAATATAAAATTTTAATTAAAGAAATGCTTCAGTTTCAACTAAATGAACTCTATTTGTTAGTTAAATTTTTTGGCAATTACCTTAATGAATAAAAACAATGTAGTATAAATTAAATTTTAATTCCAAATAACAACACAAATGTTTTATTTCTTCCCTTTCTTTCCTGTTGGTTTTTCATCAGTATTTCTTGGATTTTGCCAATTTAAAGCATTCCGACGGTACATTGGCCATGGTGGTAGGGTTAAAATTGCTGCTAAAAGAAATCCAGCGCCAAGAATGTAGACAGATTGAGAAAATTGTTGAACAATATAGCCCCAAATGAAGCCGACGATACTAAATAATGTAATGATGGCTCTGTACAATTTTTCCGCCTTAGCTTGACCCACGTAGTCAATGTGAGTTGGAATAGATGTAAAAAAATCCATTATATTAATTGTATTTTACTTATTTAATTAAAAAACAACAAAAGGTGTATATGCAAATAAAGCAGTATGATTATTTATTGAATCTGTCGACGTGACACTGTGACACCGAAGCAGTGTTGCCAGTGTGAAGCAGCATATAAGCTTCTTGCTGGTTTTCGTGAAATTTTGTGGCTGGCTGGCGCCATCACCCAAAATTACTTTTAAAACCCCTCAAAAAAATTTATACCTATTTTAAAGAAAACAACATTGTTCGCCTTTTTTAGGTAGCTTATTTTACAAGTGTTATTGTTTTTATTTCTAATTGTATTTTATCCTGCGTGCTTTTTTTACGTTTTACTTCTTACATCCACGAGTCCTCTCAACAGACTAATATTACAATTTTTTTGTCCTGTTTATGATTTGACAGAAAGGCAAAGCTAAACGTGCCCATGCACATATGTCTGCATGTATTTAATGTTCTTAGTTTATTTTATTTCTTGAATTGTTGAGAAATATGTAGTAGTACAGTGCAAAAAATGTCCTTTAGTTTCTTAACAGCGCATCTAGCAGCCAAAGATACAGACTGAGACAGAAGATATACAAGTGTCTCTTACTTCTATATAGTTTGTGGTTTCTTTCAAAGAAACTGCTTTTTCTTTAAATTTTTGCTTCATGTGGGATGCATAATAAAATGTAGTTGTAAAAGATTTCTAAGCGATTATTTTGTACAATTTGTTATGTAGCAACACTAAATTGTCCTCTTCCGTCAACCATCAGTGTCAGTCAGTCGATTGTCAACATTCAGTACGATCAGACTCATTAGGTTAATTTTAGTTATTTACAAAGGTATTAGTTTTATTTTCTAAAAGTACAATACACAAAATTACGTGAACAAAATGACTACGTTAAAACAAGTTCCTCTCACATGTGGTGGCCATACAAGACCAGTCGTGCATTTGGATTTTAGTGACGTTACAAAAGATGGATTTTATTTGATTTCAGCTTGCAAGGGTGAGTTTTTACGTTTAATATATGACTGGCAGCATCTTTTTGTATTGAATTATAAGGTACAACGAAGCTTGCAAATGGTTTTGGGAGTATTGTGTAAGTTTCTCGTGACAGATGTTAGTCATCGAAATCGTATGTAAGGCCTTCACTTTTCTCATTTGTGTGAACCGAATAACAAACCGGCTTGCATTCTATGCATGTTATGACCTTCTCTTTCCGGACATGCAGGAAGCACCTTGAAAGTCCGCTCGTGAGTTTCCTCGTGGCTGCTGCTTGCCTTGTAGATATATGTCGTGCTTTTAATGCATGTCGCAGCGACATAAGTTCCGTGTCTTTGTGTGTGAACAAAATTGTACTAGACTCAATGATTGTTTCTTTATTACATGTTGACATTTCTCCCATTCTGGGTCACCTTGGCCACCCTCAAGGTTTGACAGAGTACTTGACATTAATGTTAAGTTATGGAGGGTAAAAAATGTACTTAATTGCTTTTGTTGTATTAAGGCTATAAGGAAAATGTATTAGGTATGTACTAATATGATAATGCTATAATTACTATAGTATTGACTATCTATTGTTTATTGGATTAAGGATTTAAATACAAAAGACTGAATTCATATATCCTATTTTGATATAAGTACTATATTACTGTTACTTCTTTATTTATTGTGTATTTTTACTGCCATTGTTTTTCTTCAGTTGTCTTATAGAATACTATATATGTAGTTGTTTGCACACCTAATTGAACAAGATTAAGCAAAGTTTAAGTGAATTTAAGTGGCAATCAATAATACTTTTTAAAATAATATGTGTTCCTATGGTCATAAGATAATTGTGTATATTTTATTATAGTAATAATGTGGTATTATTATTGAAACTACAAAAGAGTAATTTTATACCACCATTTTAAATAATCTTAATAATATTATAAAGTAAGAATGGATGTTTGTTACTCTTTCATGTAAAAACTATTGAACAGATTTTGATGAAACTTTGCAGTAATATAGCTTATGCATCAGAGTAACACAGAGGCTATATTTTATATTGAAATTTAATGCAGGTGATGCCGTTGGCATAGCTAGTATAATGTATTTTGTATGTTAAACTATGAAATGTATAAACTTCTTATTTTTTAAAGAGCTATGTTAATTTTACATCTGTTTATACATAAATTGCATCTACAACTAAACAATAAAATAATTTATTTAGAAAATTTCAACTAACATAAGATTTCAATCTATCTTTAAAAATCCTGATTAGAATCCAGAGGCCAACTATGATATAAGAAAATAAAAGAAAAAACATGCAGGTAGTAATCGTAATGTAGTTTTTTAGTGTACACTGAGTACAAACACTGTAAATATAAAAGAATAATTGTATATAAATGTGTTTAATAAAAAGTGCCCTAGTAATATAAAAATAAACCTATAACATAAGTAAATGTTAAAAAACGAATAAACATAGGTAAAGTTAATCCAGTTTTAAAAAATTATACATTAACATTTATTTATATATTAATAGATGGAAAACCCATGCTGCGACAAGGTGAGACTGGTGACTGGATTGGGACCTTTGAGGGTCATAAAGGAGCAGTATGGGGAGTAGCTTTGACACAGAATGCTAATTTAGCTGCCAGTGGTGCAGCTGATTTTTCCGGTGAGTGTAGCTAATGAACTCAGTAATTTAAAATAGACTTAATTTTTAATTTGCTTATGGTAAGGTTTTTTCTTTCCGAAAACCCCATTATATCAATATTATTATTTATTTTTGTTTATTTTTATCTATATCTAATATCTACTGGGAATGTTTGTTATACACAAACATTACCAGTCCTATTATTTCATTGAACTAACTAAATTGTTCATAGAGTGGTATGCACTCGGCTTATAATACACTTTATTAGTATCACACATAATATAAACTAGTATAGTATCTTTTTATAATTTCTTATAAGATTATAAGAAATTATAATGAATGCCAAAAATGATGCATGAAATGAATGCCATGAATGAATATTCAAACTGCAATCAAAAAGGAACATAATAATGTTATACAAATACTTATTTTAATTATCACTTGGCATTGTTATTTTAATCAAAATTGAGAGTTGTATGTAATTGTTACCACTTATTATTTAAAATGTCAATTTAATGTGTTCACTCTTTTATTTTCAGCAAAACTATGGGATGCGCGCTATGGTGAAGTTGTTCACACGTTTGACCATGAGCACATAGTAAAGAGTGTGAATTTCAATTCTGATGACACATTGTTGCTGACTGCCAGTAATGAAAAGCTGATACGAGTGTATGACCTGAACAAGCCGGAAGCTGGACGTGAGTTGCCATACCTCAATCCCTGTTATTAGTTTGAAACATGGAAAGTTGGTAGGTTTATAGGTGTTTTGTTTATATTAACATATATAAAATTTCTCTTATTTATTATTATATTTTATTTATTATGAGACAATATGTATGACTATTTGCCTGGACTGATAACCCAGTCTAGAGTGTTGCATGTCATAGGTACTGTTATGCAATAAATGTTAATACTAAAAACAACACAAATAAGGAAAAGTTATATACAACAAACTAGTTACGATTGATAGAATAAACTGACAAACAGGGTCCAGTAATTATGATGTCAATAAAAATCTTCATAACAAATAATTGTTTATTAGGTTAGTAAATGACAAATATTCTCCTATACTTATAATTTTAACAAGTTTCATCTTTATAAACATTACTGTGAAATCTTCTATGTTCTGCCATTGAAACAAATATATAATCAGAATCACATATAGTGTAGTGTATACACACAAGCATTTCCCATCCACTTAAAGTTCTATCAGTTAAAAATCAGGCATATAAATTTGTAAATTACATTAATTATTCGTACATACCGTATTACAAGAGAGCATCGTTATCTGGTCATTTTGCTTACAACCAAAACAGTAGTTAGTTCAAATCTACCAGTATAAAAAAATATAATTCTGGATTCCTCTCTGGTGGAGGAAACACCAATAACAAAACTAATATTAATCCAAGACAGCTGTAGGTCCGGCACTAGCCATGTTAGATTTAAAATACCCAGCGAAATGTGAATTGTTGCTTCATCTTGGCTTCCGAAATTGACAATTTCTCTCTGAATTAACAGTATGTTTTTATTGGTATAGTCAAGCGTATAAACAATAATAAAAAAACTTACATGCATGATGTCGTGTCTGATAATGGTATTTTATAATTTTCTCTATGATTTTATTGTGAAGCTTAAAATAACTGATCGAGTTTATTAAGATATCGTCTGGCTGACGAATTTAATAACAAATATAGTAAATACAATCAGAGTACGTTCTAATCTGTTATATATATATATATATATATATATATATATATATATATATATATATAAATGAATATATTTTATTTTCAGCATTGGAAAAAATAAATGCACACTCGGGTAGCATCAGGCACGCTGTATTTTTACACAATTCGCGGATCGTCAGTGTCAGCGATGATCTCACAATGCGTGTTTGGGATAGAACTAGTGGACAGGTAACATAAAATGACAAGTAAAAAGTTAAAATTACACATTAAAGATAGGGTTGTCAGATCACTATTAGTGGTATTAAATTTTAGTGGTACGATATTATATTATTAAATATAATTTACCAAATTTTTGTGAATAATATTACTGGTGTATATAAATTTTCTGAACGTACTTCCTTTATTAAATTGTGTCAGACCTATTACAGATTTATTAAGTGGTACATTTAAAAGGGCCTATACTTCCGTCACGATCTGACCTTCCTTACTGCATACGGATATCAAATTAGTTACTGTGTATAATAATTTCTGCATATATTTCATATTCTTATCTTTTTACTTACAAAGTGATCTTGAATTTACTATAAAGTGTATTATTCATTTGGTTGCAGGAGGTGCATAAAATCGAGTTTGCGAACACTCCGAACAGTTTAGAATTATCGAGAGATGGAGCTATTTTGACAGTGGCACATGGTATGTTCCTTATAGTAATGTTAATCGTAATTGTGACAGTTTACATAAGTCTTTACACACTTGCTCAAGACACTAAAATTTACTCTTTCACTATATTGCACATCAAGACGAAATACTATGTTGACAATTGATAATGCATCATGCTACCTCATTATATGCCAGGAATAGACATATTGTATAAGATTGTATAAGATCATCTTCGTGAGTACCTCTGTCTCGCCTATTTCAGCCTCAATGTAGTTAGCTCTGTAAGCTGTGTTTTGATTGGAGCGTCAGATATGGCAGTGAAATTACAGGGAATGCATAACATCTTAGTCCTGGAGTGGTTCACGGTCGTCATATTATATTCTAATCATTTAAAAAAATGGTTTATGACACATTGCTATACTGTATTGTATTTTATATACAGGAAGTTTTATTTGGTACCTATCGACTTTGTATATGATAATCTAGTAGGTCTGCTAATTACTTACTTTCATAATTCCAGGAACCGACGTATCATTTTATTCGTCTGACACAATGCGTAAGATGCGCGAATTCCCTGTGCCTACCAAGTGTTATTCTGCGTCGCTGTCCCCAAGCCGGGCCTCCTTCGTATGTGGCGGGGAAGATCTCAAAGTCTACAAGTATGACTACAATACAGGAACTGAACTTGGTAAGCTATATTGTATATATTGTAAGCTATTCATATTTTTAACAAAGAGAACCTTGTGATAGTTAATATAGATAGAATTAAATATGAAAAAAACATCAACTCAATTTTTGTACATTTCTATGTTTAAATTGTTTGATTTTGGCCTTTTTTTCTCATATTAATTATTATTTAACGGTTACTTCTAAACTAATATTTTATATTTGATTGACGGAACTAAATGCTTACGCTCATGCTTGCTCAGCTGTACTACGTATAAATAATATTGGAGTGCCTGTACGTAATATTGAAATAACAGTTTTTACTGCATGTATATAAATATGGTACATACACCAAAATAAATATTTGTACAATTTTTGTATTGTTCCTGCTAGTGTCTGAAATGGCTGGATCGATTTTGACGGGAGTTTTATTGGCACGTACTTTTATATTTAAATATATTTATATTTTTTGAAAATTTAACTTTATTCTTCAAAATAAAAAACTTCTATATATTCCACGCGGACGAAGTCGCGGATACAGCTAGTAGCAAAATAAAATTTGTCTCGAGTCAATGATATATGGTATTTATAGTATACCATATATCATTGACTCAGACATCAGACAGTCGTAAATATGTTTAATTTTGTATGTACAAAACTATTACTAAACTCGTGTTAGTTTCAAAAGTTAGTATTGTTAGTATAAAATAAGACGACATTCCAATACTTTTAGATTAGGTGTATTTATTATGTGAAAATGTACCAATTTAAATGATTTTTATATTACCGGATCATGGCAGTACCTGTAACTCAATTAGTACAAGGTAACGTTTATTACACACAGTGCCATGTAGTCCCAAGTTCATCAGAGCTTGTGTCATGTCATTGTGTGTGTACTAGACAATTGATATAAATAGCTTAATATATATACGTACATAATATACTTAGATAATACCTCACCAATACAAATATATCTCAATAATGTTTATAAGGTTGCTATGGACGTCACAGTAAGTGTATCTATAGTAGTTATGGCGTTTTTCCTACTTATCGAACAGGATTACTAATTTCTCTTCAGGCTGTTCTCTTCTTAACTTTACTGTGTCCAGTAATAATTTAATACAATTTTAGAATCGAATAAAGGACACTTCGGTCCAGTACACTGTGTGCGGTGGTCGCCGGACGGCGAGTTGTACGCAACAGGTTCTGAAGATGGTACCGTGCGTCTGTGGCAAGCCGTGCCCGGACGTGTTTACGGACTGTGGCGTCGATCTACTGACCACCCGCCCATTACCAACGGGTTTAAGGAGGTCGCCGCCAACTGACACGCCGCCTTGGACGAAGAGGTACGTACTTTACTGTTTAGGAGCCATTCATAAATTATGTCATACGAATTAAATATATAAAAAATTGTTAATGTGAATACAAATTTTTGCATTGAGCTAGGAATCGAATCCGCAGCCACCGGAAGTAAGGCGATGTATATTTATTATGCCAATAAAAACTATGTGATTTCTAATCTATGTAATAAATAACACACTCGTTTAAATAATGTATTTACAACTAAACGATAGGTCCTTATATCTTAATCTGTTGCAGATGTTGTCGCCTTTTATAACTAACAGTGAATATGTTAATGTTACAGGAAAATGCAGAGCAGTGAGAGTGCAATCAAAATTTAACGCATCGTGGTAAACAACCATTGCTGCGGCTATCGTAACTGTGAAATGTGTCTAAAGAAGTTTTTACAAAGGAGTAACCAAAATCAAGACTAAGTATTCAACATAATAATGTCAAACTGTGTTTGTGTTGTTTTTTTTTGCAACACTAATTTTATACTCAAATGCAATGTATTTATTGTAAAAAGAAACTAAATAGACTTAATATGCAACAAACAAAGTGATTTGTAAATATTATAGTTTACCATTTTATTGCTTGTTTTATTTACTATCTTCATATGTTGGTTTCCTTGTCAGATTAACAGAGAAAACCGTGTTGTAAAAATATTTATTTATTTTCATTTTTAGGTTAAATATTTATTTTCATTTTTAGGTATCTTGTCTACAAGGTAGGTTCATCTTGTCTACAACGGACTCGTACATTCATCATAGTTCCGGAGATTTCCTGTAATAGTCACGATATTCAGTGGCCATTTTCTTCATTAGTTTCGTAGATATAAATCAAACAACATGTCGATAAAAATAGTTTTATACAAATTGTCACTGGGTGAGATACTTCACATATAAAATAATATATATTTGACATATACAGATAATCTGCGAAATATTTTACAGATCGCCGCTATACAAGTCATATTTCCAGATCTTTCCAGATACTTAATATTTATTACCATATTTTTTTATAGATACATGTAATAGTAAACAAAAAGACGGAAATGATCCAACCCTTTGCTAATGCAGTTATATAGCAGGATTATGCAGCTTGTCTGTATATGCCACAATGTCAATTTATGTTAAAATAATTTATACAGCTTTCTAGATACAAAACGAGGCAGTGAGACACAAGTAGTTTTTGCAAAGTAATGAGATAAAAACTTATTTGGATTATTATGATATAATGGTAACATTTTATAATCTACTCACGGTCAATACTTTACATCCATGCCATCAAACGCTCAGTATTGTTTAAACAGCAAATCTATTATTTATTTTGTGATATAAACAATATTTCAATTGTTGTATTCTTATTTTATATACTCGTCAATTAAAGCTAAAGATGGCCATAAATGCTTATATAAAAATTAAATTTAAAGAGTATAAAATTATACATACTAAAACACTATTGTATTCATAGTGAAATAATTATTTAACCTAAATTATAATTTGGGTGTGACGTACAGGAAATCAAGTTTTGTACATACATTGTATCCTTAAAAAACCTTAATGACAAATTTTATGTCCAAAATATTCATTTTCTTCGTTATTAATTCACATTCATAAATTTTTGGAAAACAACATAATGATACGCTAAAAAGCTGATATATAGACGACTAGAAGAACGAAATCATCTATTGTTAAAAAAAACACATTATGTGATGTTATAATTTTTTACGTCTTTAATGTTGTTCTCATTATAGAAAAGTTCTTTTCACAAGTTTTTATTTAACTTGCAATGTATGTATGTAATTTACTATTCCTACGCCTTATATAATTAACTTATGCAAAAGAGTGTCACTCACAAATATTTTTACTATATCATATTTGGACATATTTGTTAATATTCAATATATTAAATAGGTAAGTACTACATTGGAGATTATAGGCAGATCGAATGCAGTTATAATTTTTGGTAACCGGGTCATTTTTATAAATAAAACATTTCTTTTTCACTTACATACAATAATAATCTCTTAATTAACCAACTAAAAATTGTATTAATTGATGACTAAAAAACTATATTTATGACTGTACATTATGATGTTATAATATTAAAAGATCTTAGAAATCAGATGAAAAACAATGACCTTAATTCCGTTGCGATTGGTGTAGTAGGTACCTATATATTTTAGCACCATAACCTAACGCACAATTAGGACTAGTTTTATCTGTTTTAGTGATTTGTACATGATATATTTAGTATATATTCACAATCTCGGTGTTAATCTAAATTCGTTGACGCTCGACCTAATATTAATATAAATAATACTAAGATTTAATTTTGCGTATGAATATTTTTCCATTGTATCTAATGAGTTGCACTCATTAGATACATTGGAAAAATATTCATGAAAATATTCAAGAATGGTACTTTATCACACGATTCTTTTGCAGTTGACAGGGTGTATACGATATAATAATTTAATTGTTATTGGATTCACACAAGATACAGGTCAATTTTAATTATTTTTGAAAATTAGAAATTAAAAAAAAAAAATTTAAGTGACTATACCTATACTATTTGTATTTTTACGAAAATATTTGTATTTAAAATTAGGTATATCGGTCACTTGTCAACGATCATCTATTAGGTACTATAGTGTTACCATATACAATAATTGCCTATATGTTTATTTGAACACTATTTTACATTAATACAGTACAATTTGTATATGATGCTATATGAAAGTGGTACATACGAAACTGATATTAATTATCTAATAACGTTTCACTAGTTTTGCCATTTTATGATTATGTGTATTATATTTGTTGCTTGGATTAACACATTCATTTAAATAAAAAAAATCGTTTCTTACTAACAATTACAATATGAGTAAAATATACAATTTTGTAATTATAATATAATAATAATAATAATAATCACCTTCCTACTGCAACTCGGAGATTGTTCATATAAAATGTTATACCTCGATTTTAGTCTTACAATTGAGAATTGTCACTACGTAATTAAGCCTCGGCTTATATTATAATCCGGTAACCGTAACTTCACAAGGGTTCACCAAGTGCTGGCGGTCGGGGTTCACTTGGCGACGAAGGGGGTGAGGTCGGGGAACTTGAAGTTGAGTGAGGGGCGGCGGGGGGCGCGCGCGTGGGCGGGCGGCGGGGGCGGGGGCGGCGCGTGCAGGTGCGGGGCGCGCGCGGCCGCCGCGCCGCACTGCGCCGCGCACACGTCGTCGCGCACCACCGCTTCTCGCGGCCACTCACGCAGCAGCTGCGCGCAGTCCGTTATACGCAGAGACGCGCACTGCGCCTAATGGACATTTACAGGTTTTTCATCAGTTTGTAGGCAACATTGTCAGACTCTTATAAATATATTGTACGGTATATTTGATTTAGGTATGTACTTTATGCATATTTATATCTATAGCTTTATATATATTGTATGTATTTGTATATGTATGTTTACATGTACTTACTTTTAATAAATATATATATTATTTATGACATAGGTATTATTTTTCTTATTGATTACATTTGCACCGCCTACAGTTTCTCTGCTCAACCTGGGGTTGAGTGGTAGAAAATGCCGTAAGGCATTAAGTCCGCCATATGTACTTTTACCTTGGTATTTTGTGCATTGAAGTTATATAAATAAATAAATAAACATCCTCTTTCTATATCAATTAATAAAAAATACTCTAATTTGCATTATAACTTACTCCTTCTACGGTGCATATGCAGGAGGTACAAGGCGAGGGGAAGGCGGAGTCCCCAACGGCGACAGATCGACCTGCGATAAGGCAGCCTTGTGCAGAACTCTCACGCCACGCCGACAGATCCAACTTCGGTAGAGATGCGCACGGTACGCGGGGATTGCTACAATTTTATCGGTATTAATTTATTATACCTATCTTTATTTCAGATCCATTGCATGCTAAGGAGAGAGATATATTGTGACTTTATAATATTGTGTTTGGCTTGGCTTATTGCGTGATCTCATACTGCTACATAATTAAAGCATCTCCACTGTTTTTAGTTAACATAAAGGTAAGCAAATAACGGGGAATATTATTATTATTAATCTTTATTCATAAATGTACAGTACAATTCAATACTGTTAGCCATGGCTTTCGATATAGGTGAACCTGTGCTACGAAAGCCAGGTAATGCCAGCCACAATAAGATAATGCAATTGTTAGGCGACATAAGAAGAATGTTTATGAATGGCATTTCTTCTCCATGATAAGGAAGTGTTGCAGGAATTATGATGTCTTCAATTATACTTTGTGGCGTCAAAGCAACTTGAGTTAGGTCGTCAACCTACTGCATAAACTAAAGTATTGTGCGTGTGATTGTATTAATATGTATCACTTTTTAGCTCTAGTTGTAGTAAGAGTAATAAGGAGAATATAAAGAATATTGAATCATATAACAGTGAACAACGCTGTTTCGTTATTCTATTTTAAAATAAATATTTAAATGCTCGGTACTAACAAGTCACTGGGTAAGTCGAAGGAGGCCCGTTGTATATCACTTTCTTCATCGAAATTGTCACAGATTAACTTAGAGAGGGTAGTTTTTCTGATTTCGGCCAATTGGTGTTCTGTGAATCTTGCTGCCGGATTGTCATTTTCATACCTGTAAAATATTTGTAGTTTATTTAATTAATTATTTTAAGAGATAAAATGATCGAAATTAAGAGTGGAATAATCTCAAAAAGTTAAATCTGATCAGGGTTCCCAGTAGTAGTCCTACGTTTAAACTGTATTGTTTGTTTTAGCATAGGTTAATGTTGACGTATAATTTATATGACGAGACAGAAATCGTAATATTGACTACTACGATTTGAATTCGAAATGAAAATTTCATCTACCTACATATGTACATATAACTTCGTAGCTGTTTATTTTCTGTCAGTACCTAATCGTTTCATTATGAACTGCCTGCGATGTCGATGCTCTTTCGCTACATAAATAGTAGAAAATATCCATACGGAGTACATCTTACCAAAATCTGTCGCATTTCCTCAGCTGCCTGAATTGTATGGCGATGATGCAAGCAAAGGTTGGTCCTACTAAACCGCCCTGCAGTGGCCGCTCGCTCATTCCGCCGGGGAACAGGTCAATATCATCCACAGTGGGATATATCCTCTTAAGTCTGGAATTGTTAAAGTCGATAAATTTGCTATAGCCGCTATACAGTATATTCATTATTTATTACACGATCACCTATTTTTGGTTCTCCATTTATTTTCATTTAGTATAAATTAAGAATCCTTTGAGTAGTATTAAGGAAAGGCTTAACAAAATTGTAAAAGACCATCAAGACGGATCGTTTCTATTGAAATGGTTCTACTTATATCACGTATTATGGCTGAATTCTGTGACTTAGCCTCCTTTAAAAAAAAGACAGTCTAAGAGTATCTAATTTCATGTCAAATTTAATTGGGACTAGACCCGCCATTTCACCTGCATGGAATTAAAATAAACAAACATTCTAAAGTAAAAGTAGCCTAAGTTGCTACTTATAACATTAGCTATCTGCGAGTGAAAATCCCGTCAATATCGTTCCAGCCGTTTAAGAGATTAGCAAGAACAAATAGACAGGCAAAGATCTTAATTTTTTTTAAAATTGTATATTACACATGTTTTATATTTATTTAGTAAGTAGCTGTTAATTTGAATTTACAAACAGGCACCTCTTTTGTTATTCATTTCTATAGATGTGTTGAGCTGTTTAGTCATGAAAAGATACAGACAGACATACAAATTTTCACATTTACAACAAAATATTAATATTAGGCCGTCCCTAATTATTGAAGAAAATAACAATAATTTACTGACCTTGCGATTACTTCATCAGGAATTTCTCTAGATAAGTCTTCAAACGTGGCTGCCCTCTTGAGATTACAAAGCGCTCTGTAGTTGTTATAGCTCGGTATACCGTGATCTCTAGCTCTTTGGACATTCAATGCAATCAGGTCGATGCCTGAGAATGGAATGCGGCGGTCTTCGAAGAGATGGTTGGTGACTTCACCAGTGATGAATTGGTCGAGTGTTTCCATGGGCGTTGATGATAGACCGCGGGTTAGTTCATCGACCATTGCTGGATGCTACAAAAATATCAGAATCCGTTTTTGGAAAATGTAAAAGAATTAGATCCTGTAGAGAATCCGTGTCAAATCGCCATTTGGCCCTAGAGTATTAGTTGATTAATTTCATCGAATTTTGACAAATTGTTTAAATTCATAACAAGTGATCTGCTTTGTATATTTATATCTCTTTGGTAAACTATGCTGTATAAATATGATCTTAGATTCTTAAAATTATAATGATCAATCCAAATTTAATTTGCCAGAGATCTAAGATTAAGAAGCAAACTCCAACTCCTCTCACAGGGTATTGTCTAGGACGTAGCATTTGGATTCCACTAATGGATTCTGCCTGGGCGAATAAGATGGATACAATATATCAATGTATTCTGTAAATTTTGTAACTGGGTAAACTGTTCATGTTTGCTTGAATAATAAATATTTTTAGAAAATAATAGTGGAAGTAAATGGAAATATTGATACCTTAGCAAGAGCTACTTACCGCCATAAATATGTCAGTTTTGAAGAATCCATCCCTGAGTAATATCGGTGGGTCGACTGGTTGGTATGTGGGCGAGAGACGAGGCAGGTGCGGCCTTAGTAACGAATGGCCAATCCTGAAAGCGGCCGATGCGAATTCCGTGACGATGGCTGGGTTGCAGGTCGGTGAGTACTCTTTGTAATAACCTTTAGGACAAAATAGACTTACAGGTACTAATTTCTGTGAAGTTCTAGAAACAGATTTGTGTAAATTTTAGATTTTCTTTCCTTTTACTTTAACTTATTTTTTTCTCTTATTTACACTGAATAAAAGCAAGGTTAACGATTTTCAAGTTGTGTTTGAATTTTTATACCACTTGTCGGTCTAATACGGCATTGATAGATTTTAATGGTTTGATAGATTTTTTTATTTTAATGGCATGCATGCATCATACATGCTCGATTTTAAAAGTTTAACTACAAGCCACATAACGGAAGTTCGTCTCTTAGTCCTGTTGTTTTGCTTTATTATGTGTAATTTATTTAAATTTTATTGACATCTGATAAACCTAAAATTTTGACGAGAATTATGCATGTATATATACGATATAACTCTATAATAAAGCCTATAATTTTGGTTCTCTTAAGTTTATAATTTTTTTTGTTGATAAGCGGCTACGTTGTTTCACATCTGAAGATCTATGCAATTTCAGAATATACTATGCATTGTCTTCCATAATTATTCCTATTTTTCCTATGTCAGTACGAAAATATTAAAAATATAGTTGCAGCTCACCTGAAGGCAACAGTTTCAGTCCATACAAATTGACGGCGTTCCATGAGAGCAGCCTGGGCAAGAACTCATTGTAGATGATATGCGTAAACTCTGCGGCGAGGATGCGACGAGCGTGCTCGAACAGTAGTTCCGCGTCCCAATGAGGGTTGACGCCACGAAGTCCTTCTACGAGACGGTTGTGTTCGCGCATGAACACTGTCTGTATGGCAGTGAGACCTGGCTGCTCGGAAGCCCGTCCATCACCTGAAGGTGGAAATACATTAGAGACATAAAGCAACTACTTAGTACTGCTACAACTCTCGTTTCATTTTGCCATTTCCTTGAGCTGTTTTGCTATTATGCAGGTTGTAATATAAGTTCATTTATTTGGTCAGATTATTCCGTCCAGCACCACGATATCATTGCACTGTAACTGTACTTGTCGCCCGTACTTTTACCTTTCTAGGGAGTACACGAATTTAAAGAGCAAATAGCAATGAAGTATGTATCTAGCGATTCTGCCTTCAAGGGAAGTAGCTTGTTGTGAATTTGTCACGATGGGCTAATTGACTTGCACTAACTGACTTAAATCTCACATTGTCACTTGACGTGCCCCACTAGATAATATCGTTAGTGCAGGCGGGGTCATTATTTCATTTCATCCATTAAAAATATCCTATGTTACGCGCATGTATTGCGTCTTTCTACAGGTGAAAAAAATATTAATTAATTTAATATAAATAGATACAAGAAATGAAATCTTTCCTCCTAATAATATTAGCAGCACCTAATAAAATTTACCAGCAATGAAACATAGTCCACTATTCGACTTGCACTCGGGATGGTTCGACCTGGGCAGCAGGTGCTTTCCGTTGAGTGGGTGTTCGGTGGCGTTCATGCGGCCATTAAATCCACGCAGGGTCCGCACGATGCATGGGTTCTCGCCATACACTACCGACGCATCGATGAAGGCTGTATTCTGGTTCACTTGCTCGCGGGGACCTGATGATATTTATTTATTTGTTTGATTCGCAAACAACTACTACAATATTACTTTCTAGTATAAGCACATATATTTTATTACAATTGATCACTGTATAGTTGCTTAAAGTTAAACAGTTATATATGTTATTTTATTAAAATATAGAATAGCATTTGTTGAAAAAAATTAACAATTGAAATTGGCGGCTGAAATAGGCTAGACAGAGGTATCCACATACGTCTAAAAATATGTCTCAACAAATTGATTTCAATAAGTTTATGAAGTAATGAGTTTTGACTGACCTAGTTGTTGTTGTCCAGGCAAACTCCTCATGAAGGGGAAGCAGAGTCTCTCCCCAGAAGTCACATTGACCTCGGGGTAGTAATGGTCTCCTCTCGGCACCGGGAATGGATTACACTCCGGGTGAACTGTCCGTGGTGAGTCGCACGAGCGACAGTCTGGGATCGACTCGTGAAAACCTGGTATAGAAAACAATTATATTTAATAAAACAATTTAGATGAAGACAATAAAACATTTGTTGTTTCAAAATAAACGCCTGTGGTCGCTATAAATATATACAGAAGTAGAAGTTCGATGTTATGGACTTATATACAATGAAGATCTTGACCTCGATTCTGCTCACTCTGCTACCGAAAATTCTAATTCGAATCAATTTGAAGACTATAATTTTGTGATAAAGTAAACTGTGATAGTTTTTTGGTTACATAAACACCAACTTAAACTGCCAAATGACTCGCACATAATTTTTAAATGACCAAATTGAATCTGGTCTATATGATATTAGTAGCAAAATAACTACATCAATCAATCACTGGCATATCTCAGATTTAAAAATATGGTCTATGGCGTCGTACCCTAAATTGTTTGGAAACTTTGGACAAAGACGTATTCTGAAAAGTTGTGTATCTGAAAATACGTCGTCTATAATAAGCCAAATATAAATAGAAATTACCTTTGTGAATGGGGGTCATGGTGAGTTCGTGGTCCACGAACTGCGCAAACTGCATCACCATCAGTGTATACCGAGTGTGCAGATTAGAGATGTCCGGGTGGATCACCGTAGATACTACACGTGGTGATGGCAGTGGTGTACCCGTGACAGAGTTAATACGAGGCCGGCTGACACCTGAGTAGATTTACATATACAGTAATTATTACAGGAATTTTTGTTACTACAACAAAATGTATTAAAAGTGAATAATTTTTTCTCTATGCCAAATATATCTAGTATTCAAATTATAATACACCTGTAAATTTATATTTCTTAATACTGACCGTATACATTCATCCCAAATTTGCGAACTTGCAGTAAAAGCTATAGACGCATACACGATTGGAAACCGAATGCATTAATTACCAAGTGTCGCCTCAAATTGTTCGGAAGGTCAGATCTAACATTTTTTGATGATAATATAATTATTTGGGAGCATACTAGGATAGGATTATCTCCATTGTCCGTAAGCAACTAATGATTGCATAATACTAAACAAGTCCAAGTCCTCGGTTGATAGGACTTTCTCGAGTTTCATCATAGACCAACATAATAAAGAAAACAATTAGTTCATTATTCATTATCCCAAATATATTGTAAAGTTTTAGCAGTCTTACCATCTTCATAAACAGGAGGCAGCAATCTAGCAAAGGTAGTTAAACTCTTCCCCAAGTTTGGGTTTCTGAGATTATTACAGTGTCCAGTATATGTTCTGAAAGGACTGTCAGGATTGCAGGGTCCTTGGTCGTCACAGCCTGGCTCGATGCTCGGTCCTAACTGGTCCTTCCCAATAAATCCACTGACATCCACGGATTGCAATGAGTCTGCGAAATCATTTGCACTAGCGAAACTGAGGGAGTCGTCAAAGATTTGACGTTTACGACGGCGATTCCTGAAACATCATATATTTTTTTGTAGCAGACCGCTATTGGATATCTTTGCGATCGTTATTATCAATGAGGTGGGCAGAGCATTATGATATGTGGAATCAAAGTAAATGCAGTACTTGACAATACTACAATTAAGATAAAAATTAAAGAACTTTTCTCTTACGTTGTAATCTTAAATTGTTGTGTTGATAATATTAACTGTTAACCTACTTACCCACTATGAATAGTGTTGAGTAGTTCGTTGGTTGCAAATTCAAAGAAAAGTGATGTATTAGCTAATTTCAAGGCATATTTGTTAGCCTTCGAGAAAGAGGCTGCTGTGCCTACGGGGGACTTAGGGTCAGCACCACCACCTAGAAAAAATATTTATGATCGTTAAGCAAAAATAATGTTGTGCGGCATTTTGTACTGCATTATTCTGTTTGATTCACCACAGCGTATCACAGTTTATAGATCACATTCGATATGGTAGTGTTGAATGGCCTCGGTGGTCTAGCAGTTGAGCACACCGACTTACTTTTGGTGATCACGGGTTCGATTCCTAGCACATTTGTATTCATGAGCATGATTGTTGGTATTGGTCTGGAGATTAAGTATGTATAAATACATATAAAACATAATTAAGTATATCTATGGGTTCTCCTGACTGACTGACCTGGGTTATATTTATAATTACTTACGAGATTCCCAAAGCATATATTCAAGTCGTTTTCTGTCAGCCATCTCCTGCTTGGCCTTCTGCAACGCAGCGGCGACCATATCCTGCGAGAGTTGTTCGGCGGCCCGAGCACCGCTTTCATCACGCCATGCTGCCATTTCCAAACGGCTGTGTTGTGAGCACTGCTGTCCGGCATTTCTAGAATTATTCCATAGTTATGTGTCGAGATTTCATTTGAGTAAAAAATATTTCCCGAAAAATACACACTATCTAATTATGGAGATATTTTATATATGCATAAAATATAATTTATATCCCTTCAATCGTTTATGCATGCCTATTTGAAATTTTGCATAATATAGGGAGCCTGGTGACATTTATGGTAATATTGCATCGTGTCGGGAGATTAGTCGATTTTTTTTATGTTATTGGTATTACTTACAAGTAAGGATCTTCTTTGATGAACACCTTAGGTTGAATGTTTGCTATAGTATCATCAGCAGAGCAGAGTAATCCAGCCAGTGAAACTTTTCTAATGGCGCCCAATTGTTCTGGCAGGAATGAAGATGGCGGAATGTCGTTTTCATACCAGAACCTGTTCATGAAAAAAGACGAAAATAATTTAATCAGCTCATAGAACTTTATAGTTTTTATTTCAATAAACTTAATGTTAATTTCATGCTTCGTATTATTATCAGATATCATACTACTATCAAATAGCTAATGTATTATACAAACCTATCACTTTTCTTCAAATTAGCGAATTGGAGTGCAAGAACACAAGCTAGCGTTGATCCAATAACAGCCCCAGTTGCTGGCTTTTCCATAGCACCACCAATCGCCAATTCTACATCTTCAATATTTCTGGAATTTAGGAGAAATTATAAGAAATTAATAATAATTTATATGTTAGCTATAAATTTTGCTCACATTGTAAAAGTTTTATAATTTGTAATGATTTTTGATTACATGTTTAATTTAAATTTAAGATTTGATGTAATTTTTACTAATTTTCAATTTTTTCCTATTTAAAATTGCAGTAAGTATAATTTCTGAAGAATTACTATAAATAGAATCGTCATTGTGGAAACTCTCCTGTGTAAGAAATCTGAGGTGTAATAACGCGGAGCATAATAATATTGATTTTATATTCAGAGTGTAATAAACCTTTTCATTCAGCACATAGGATTGCATGATTAATGAAGAGGTTTGTCTGCGTGTGTGTAGTAGATATATATGTGTGTGTGTGTGTGTGTGTGCTCTTTAGTACTACGCGCACACACACAGTGTGTGCGCGTAGTACTAAAGAACTATCGTATTTCAAGGGGGACTACACAAGCCAAGTATTATGATTTGAGTAAACCACTAGTTTTAAATATCAAATAGATACCTGTACATATCAGCCAACATTTCGACGTGTGCTCTATCGAAGCCCAGCCGAGCCATGTCTCCGAAGCCAGTGAGGGTAGCGCTAGAGGTGGGCTCACAGAGACGTAGCGTTCGAACATAAGACGGTACGCCGTGGTCGCGAGATCGTCGCACGTGCCAGCGAGCACGCGTTGGTAATCGCGCGGGACGGTGTGCCGCTGTTGCAATCAGCTGCTCCACGGTAGCACTCGAGTTCGTCTGGTATTGACCATACATATTTATATCTACGGTGCTATTTGCTTATCCTCTGATTGCATGGAATATAGTCTGTGTAATTTGATTTATAATTAAGCTTTTTCTCGGAAAGTGTTTTTAAAATCGGTTAAATATTTTTTCCAAATATAGTACTTATATGCTAATCAGTGATAATATAGCTTTTTCTAGCCGAGTTTATAAAATCGGTTAAAATAAAATTATCAATATATAAAATCATCTTTTTAAATATTAGTCTAAATTAAGTGCAATTATTGCAGATAACACTATTTTTTTTAATTATGTAATATTAGTCTAGATTTTGAAGTCATAGTCTCTACTACTTAACTAGTCTTACTTGAGTCGTTAATTAGCCTCAATCTTTAAACTTAGTCTCGTACGAAGAAATAAAAAAAATAAAAATCTCGTATATTTGGTATTTTGATCGATTTATGTAGGAGAATTTCGTTTCCAGTGCTTAAAATTTAGTAATGATACAAGGATCCTCGTACGGATGGCTACCTCGATAAGCCTTGTGCCCATAAATCAGTGGCTGACTAGTATCAGAATACTGTGTAATAACTTAATACTATGATCTGTGGTGCCACTCCAATAGATATATAAATAAAATAGCATAGGACAAATAATACATAAAACAACTTACAAGTTTCTCATTCATCATAGCTAAAAAGATCGGCGCAACTGCGATCAACTCTGTATAAGTGCCGGCTCTGTTGGCGCTCGAGTATCCACGCCAGAAACCAAGCGATTGCAATTTCAATTCAGCTTTAGCCATCCCCACCTGTTTAAAATATATAAAAAAACAACTAGGTTAATACTACTAATAATATCTACCTATAGAAGATAAATAAGTCTAAAGGAAGTACTAATAACTTTTAGGGTGTGATGTTGATGGTGATTACTTAATGGATTTATATTCTTTAGATCAGACTGTGATCATGCGCTGAACAGACAACATTAGGCTTCCAAGCTATATTCAATCTCAACTATTGGGTGATATTTCGTAGTCAATATACAATCCATATCCAAATAATACAAATCCATATGAACTTCCGCAAAATACCAACACCTAATTTAATACAGTATTGATGTCTGTTAGAATAATACCATATTACGTTGAAACATATTAATTAGTTACTAATTACACAAAATAATAGAATGATATATATCAAGATAAGTTGTACGATTGTAACTTGAGATGGGATAGTTAAGAGAGAGGAGAGATTGTCGACTGTTGACGTCACTCGTAGTGAACGCAATACATAACATACTCACATTTTGCTGAGTACTTTTTCATCCATGCAGGAGGAGATCTTACCGCCATGTCGCATTTTAACAATAGTTGCTATTGCTATTTTCATCACCAGAGAGTCAGAAATATAAATTTACACTACATTTTCTACTGGACAGTCCTATTCCCTTTTAAATTTTCTAAGGTGTAAAGACGGAATAATAAGCCACAACGCTTTAGAAACTTTTATAGAGAAAATAAAGGGAGCAATATTTACTTACCTCGCCTAGTAGGACGGGCAAGAATTCGTTGTACGTTATGTGCTGGATGATGGCTGCCATTGCTCTCCTAGTTTCCAGATATAAAGTGGTATCGTCCCAGAACGGGTTCAGTGAGTATAGTTCTCCGGCTATGCGATTGTGTTCTGCTAGAAGTGCCTTATATAGAGGTGCAGTGGGACTAGCGTCGTTGCATCTGGAGGGAAATAAGGTAGGTAGGTATCCATTAATATTAATATTTTTTTAAAGATTAGGTATTCGTTAATAAGACTTCTTTTATGTAATGTAATTAGAGTGAAAAGCTAACGGGTCACGTGATGGTAAGAGGAAATGGTCGCCTATAAACATGATCAACACTACAGATATCACGTTATCACGTGCCGTGTCGCAATTCCAGATGAATTAAGATTTAAGAATTTTTTAATTAAGATCTCATGTCTCCTTTTCTATAAGTATATTATTTTAAAAATATTTTACCCTACAAAAAGCTTTTTAAAATTAAACTAAGTTAAAACGTATATTATATGGGTGTTTATGATGTTTCTGTGTAACTGTAATCTAAATACATAGTATATTACTAACGTGACATTATCTACGTAATGTAAGATTTTTATCTTACTTTATTTGCATATAGTTAATTAATACAGAATATGAACCATGTCTGCTAAACATGCAGCCAACTTCTAAATATAAAAAATGTCTGTATAGTTTTACACATTTTAAATAATATTAGCAGATTTAAACACCTACCAGACATGAATAGCCTTTCGGTTAAACAATATTGTTTACATCCTGTATTGCCTATTTTGTTTCATTTGATATAATGAATTCAAAATTCAGTAATGGAAATTCAATGACAGAATTAAGTGCTGTATTAGGCTACTCGCCATCATAATGTGTGTTTGTGTATTAATTATGTCCACAAGGATAATAGTGACTCCGCTTCCATCTTTTGTTTTCATAAAAATTAATTTGCCTCACACTAGAAGTCACAAAGTCATATTCGCACGTTCATGGAAATACATAATTTAAAATGTTAAAGTTCAAGAAAAAATAATGATCGTGCTAAAAAATTCTTGTATATTACGGTTTGTACTCACTACCACCACGTACAATTAGTACTAGTAATATAGGTAACTTAAATATAATAATAACAAGTAAATATAATATATTTTACACTACTAGTGTTTATTTAACAATTGTAAAATACAGATCGTTACAAATAACAACGTTTCTTTTACATCTAAAAGTGGTATATTATCACATCTTATCAATTTTTTAAATTAAACTAATAATAAATCTATGCATAGAAATAAAATTGGAGTGTCTGTTTTATGATATAGAAATAGGCGTTTTTTACTATATGCATATGAATATAAATACATATGAATATAAGTACATACACCAAAATAACATTTTTTACAATTTTTGTCTGTCTGTCTGTCTGTTTGTTCGGGCTAATCTTTAAAATGGCTGGACCAATTGTGACGGGACTCTTTTTGGTAGGTAGCTGATGTAATAAGGAGTAACTTAGGCTATTTTTAGTTTAAAAGTTAAAATCCACGCTGGCGATGTCGCGGGAACAGCTAGTATATAATATAAACTAAATACATAATTAAATTGCTTTCAAATCAAGTATCTCGAAATTTAGTCTCTGAGAATTACGAGTTATTTTCTTGCTTCTTTATTTTGAATATTATGCATATGGTAGTTACTATTTATTATAATAGGTATTCCATATTAAATAAATAGCTTTATTAAACGATGACACTGATTTATCAAATAGGAAGTAGTTTATTATACCATTAGCAGTTTGCTTGTAACCACCTATGTTAATATGGTAGATATTGAAATCTTTACGAGGGAAGGTACGTAATCTCAAGGTTTACATCTCAGATACATTTGCATACAATCCATTTCTGTGACCACATCTAGGAATTCCATCTCTGTGTCATCGTTTATAAATTAACGTTGCGTCGTGTTCATATGTTTATATCGTTTGATGTATCTAACTCTTATAATATTGAACTTATATCTTATAGGTTAGGCAGAGACAATAGAATGCGAATGGTCTACAATTTGGTAGTATTTATGTAGAATAGATCTTTCTCACTTACTTCAAAAAAGCATGTGATTCTATGTTTCTTATTTATTCATATTATGAATAATGAAAATAGGTATTTCGTAATAATCGTTACAATAATTATTATGGAGGTAGTAAGTATATAAGTTAAAGTTGTAGAAAATTCAAGTGACTTTGTCATTTCAACCTTGGCGAAGATGTGACTATACTGTTTCTAAAATGCGTATATGGTCGTATGTCAGTTGTATGCATATAGGTATATAACTATACTAATCTTGTCTCTAATAATAATAAAGGTAATCTTGTCTCTACCAGGTAATAAAACATTTTTCTTACAATTAGATATTTATAGGTAGCTTATTAATTGCGTTACATTGGCGTGCGTGAAGATAAACTTGTTTGTTCTTATACAATGTTCATTTTGTTTACTTCCTCTTTATTATCCATTTAAACGCATCTATTGGCACGATATTGCATATGAATTATTACACTTTATTAATTATTACTTATAACTGAATAATATGTTGTAACTAGATATTTATTATTTTTGTTATATTCATTGACCTTATTGTATTCAATAATAAGTATAATTATCTTAAATACTTGCTTGAAGAATACTAATTATACATGAGAGTATTTTTACATAATTGTTTAATTATTGTTAAAGATTTGCTGATTATATTTTTAGACTGAAGCTCAGGTGTTGAATTAAAATTTATCATATACGTTATGGTTTACGGTTTAAATTTTATTTTAATTTTTAGGTTGTTATTGTAAACAGTCGTCTGCGTGGGTACCTCCGTCTACCTATTTTAGTTGCCAAGCAGCGTGCTTTGTAAACCATAGTAAAATAAGGCAGTAAAATAATTGGATAAGAGACAAGACATCATATTCCACTGGAATGGTAATGAATGAGTCGTATAGCGAGCGTCACATGATAACGTGATGTACGTAATGCTGTTTACACTGTTGAAAAGCACTGAATAAATATTTTTCTTTCTTTCTATTATGTATATGTTAGCGATTACCACTTGCCATAAGGCAGATCGTCAGTTAGATTTTTTTTAAATATCCTTGATAAAATACTTATAATAAATACTTACTTTCGACATGAAGCCATGTCGAGTTTGCCAGCATCGTAGAGTCGAAGTGAGCGCAGTTCCTTCTCAGAACTGCCGTAAAGAGCAGAGCCATCGAGCACAGAAGTAGCCAGGTTCATCTGCTCACGGTATTCTGAGGAACAAGTAAAATTTGGCCAGGTCATTGAATAAACAGTTTAAAGATGAAATACGAACGTAAGTAAGAACAAGTAAAAGATTTTTCCTAATATTCTTATTTTGGCACAATAAATTAATAATACCTATATATGACAGTTGTTCGTTATATTATATGCGCAATATCTTTCATTGTTATGTATTAAATTAGAGTTCGATAGTACAGACAGAGTATTATTCAAAATAATATTAAATGTCACAATTGATACAAATTAATGTACAATTCTGTGACAACCGAACCAAACAGTAATGTAGTTGAGTTAGTAAACATTGTTGTTGAATTAATTTTAAATATTCGAGTATCTCCGCATTACCTAAGGTTGGCTGCTAGAGAATGCTATTAGCTTTAAGCCATTCAATAAAGTTTTAAATAAATATCTGCTGAGAATAAATATGAATTAAATTATTTTAGTATTCAATATATTTTATATACGCATAACGCTTTCAAACAATACTATACTTGTACCTATAAAGTAACTAGTGTTACTGAATAAATTCTTTCTTGAGGAATATAGGTATAAATAGTTATGGTAGGTACTTTATTAGTAATCAAAGTTTATTAAATTGAGGTTAAAAATATTCGTCATAACATTTATAATGTAATTATATATAAATACGTTTTATATAATATTGCATGGTGCTATTATCATGGAAGTCGTTGCGAAATATAACTGAGCATGCTTTGTGAAACCAGTTGCCTACCTACTGTTTAAGCATTTTCAACTAGGTACGCGTAGGATACTTTAGAAATAACTTAGTGCTTAATATCTATTCACAGTAAAATAATCTTACAAATATCTCTCATGCTTATACATCAGTAAGACTATAATAAAGTTATGTTTATAATGCCTTTTTAAGGTAAATGATATTTCTGTCCTCGTTATTATATACCTATGTAATATTGTACACTCAAACTATGGAAAAAATACAGGTCTATTTTTCGAGATATCTATAATGTATTCTGATACAAACAAGTAAGAAGGTGTTATGACTATACATTCATCTGATATTTAATTGTTTTTATTACTGTTAAATGCAAGGTTATTTTATTTTCTATTGGTTAAAGAGAGTCAAATTCATACATACCGAAACCACAAGAATCTATGTCTCTTGCAGGCGCTGAGCGTTCGTAATCACAACTCGATTCTGATCCTTTGCATTCCTGTGCATATAAATAAATAAAGTAAGTTTACGTCGATGTACCTTATAAATATACATAATGTTTTGTATTGCAATGTTTTTTCTATGTATTGCAAGTATACATTTAAAAAACGTTTTTAATACTTTTATACATATTTTTCAGATAACATATACTCTTATAATATTATTAACTTAAGAATGAGCTTTAATGTCCGGTTTATAGATGCTACCAGGCGTTCCTAATGTTATATGGAGAGCCACTTTTTTTATAAACTGTATTTCGGTTTAAAAGTGATACATTGTAGTAAAATTGCAGGGTGCGGAAGAGTATGTTAGCTTCTTTGTCATTCATATTATGCTTATAAAAAAATGTCCACCCTATTGCAGTACGTTGAAAGTACAAATAACTTTCACATTACGTGTTCGGATTACGATACGCCTGCAATTTTAAAAATCAATATTCCTTAATTTCGTAAGGTTAAATACTATCCTACAATAGAATTAAATAGTTTTTCTTGACTTCATCATAAATAAAAATGAAGAGTGGATTTCACTTATAGTCTTTTTTTGTGTATTAGAAAACATCACTAAAAAAACCAAGACATGTTTTAATTTCAGGACTAATGAGAAATCAGTGCGAGTGCATATTGCAAATGGAGATAAAATGATATACGAATGAATCCATAATATATAGTTATTAGGTATGTGTTTATGATACACGTATATTGAAAATAATAATACGTAATATGGATTGGAAAACATTCTGTTATGCTGACTAAACACTTCATAATGAATTAAATAACTTTGTCACATACACTGTGCACCTGCTGATTTATCACACATAGAAGAATCTACGTTAATGATAATCAAATAACAATCAAAACATACAAAGAGAGAAAAAAAGATTGAGAAAGTGTATTATAAATTGTGAGTATTTAAAAATAAGTAGTACCATGTTCTTTGTGGTATTCATTAATTTAATATATTACGGTGCCATAAACTGGAAAATTACGGATATAAACTAGCAAATAAACTAAAGATACAAATAAAAAGGAACAAAAAAACTAGACCATTCAGCATTGACAAGTTTATATCCATTATGTTTATGGTACTATCATATATCATACCGTTAAAACGATACTAACCATTAATTAAACGACAAACTATTAATTAAAGTTACACGTTTCGGCGTCACGATACGCCAAAAATATGGATTAAATAGTCGAAAAAAAATTACCCTCTCATCTTTGGCAATCCAGTAATGTATTTTCAGTACAATGTAATTTTCACACGATAACTTCTCGTATAAGTTTAAAATATAAATAATAATACCAAATATAAGTTTAAAATTAGAACGCACCGTGTAACAATTAGATTGTAGAGGCAAGCCCATAAGTATCAACCATAAGGAACGGAATATACCTGTTACTCCATTGCTTTCACTATTATAAAAGTGTACATGCAACCTTTCTTCTATCGACCTCGCGAACTATCACGTAATGTTATGTAACTATCAGACTTTACATGCTTCTATAACCCGATAGGGCTTTTAACTTCTAAAAAAGAGGTAAGAACTAATTAAATATATAGTATTTTTTTTTCATAATTTAGACAATTTATAAATGCAGTTCGTGACCTTAAATACTCGATTTATCCCTTAAGGATTCTGGCGAAAGAACAAACCGCATTTTTTACACTGAAATGATGTATAATATGTATTGTATTGTAACATGCAGTATCTAATGTTCAATAACAATATTATTAGGTAACGGTGAATTATTACATACTATAAAACAAAGTCGCTGTCACTGTCTGTTCCTATGTATGCTTAAATCTTTAAAACTACGCAACGGATTTTGAAGCGGTTTTTTTTATAGAGTGATTCTGTAGGAAGGTTTATATGTATAATACATGTACACCCGGGCAAAGCCGGGGTGAGTAGCTAGTAAAAAATAAAAGCATTTTAAAATATAAATAACAATTGTCAATTGACAAAAATTCAGTAAATCAGATCAATATGCGTACCTAAAGACAAGTATGTGTGAAGAATGAATAGTAATGTACAATAATTGTTTACAACTCAATTTGCATGAATAGAAGAGAGAAAACAGTTCACTGTTCACTGCAATAATCTATAGAACATTGTAGTATTTGATATATATTCATAAATTTTTGTCCAACCCCCTTTCAATTTCTGTTACTTGTACATAAAATATATAAATTAGTTTTAGTGTATGTCCACTTATTTCTGTGAAAAAAAAAGTAACAAATATCAACAATCCACCCAGTCCAAGTAACAAATTTCTATTTTTTAAATTAATGTTACTATTATTATTTCTGTGTAAATATGATTTATGATTTAGAAAACAAAGTAACCAATAAACCAAAATAAAAGTATGTTGTATTATTAAAAAAATAAAAATTATTGTAATAAATTTCAAGATCAGATTTTAAAATATTTCATTTTAAGAAATTGCTAATAAAGCAATTGAAATTTATACATAGATGCGTCATCGGGTTAGTTATTAACATTGTAATCATTCATAATTGATCTCAGTCGGGCTTCGGCCAAGTTCAAGTTACTATACTTGAAAAAATCGAGTTGATCGCATCATTAGATGGATGATTACGTCGTATGAATGCGTGCGTTGCGACACCATCCGTTCCTTTTAACAAAAAGCTTGCATCCGGCGGCCTTCGTATTGGAATATTACGTGCGATTCGATGAGGTATAAACACGTAATCTATGCACTTTGATTTTTGTGCAGCTATACTTATAGCTGTTGTGGTTATTATAGCCGTGAGCAGGCCTAATTGACTTGTCCAAAATTTGTTTGCTAGTCACAAGTTCTAGAGTATCATAAGAATCGTCTCATGAGGAAAATTTTCGTGAAATAAATCGTGGTATTTTTTAATAGAGTGTGTGCAATAATAATAATAGCGTAATTGTCGAATTAGTAAAAAACAAATTTAGTATGATGACGAGAGATGCAGATATATCTATCGGATCGTATTCTGGAAGATTAATATTTTCAAGCGAAAAATGAATTTATTTAAGAGTCCCTAGAAAATGTTACATTATATTACAACTTTTATTTTTTTTTGTATTACGTTGACCATAGGTAAGAAATTTAAGTATGAAATTTTGAACTGCTGTAATGATCTCTAGATAGCGATATGAATTTTTATTTACTTTCAAAATTCTTTAAGAATATCTCACGTTCAATAGTAGTAGTAGTTGTACAATCATTTTGGTTCATAAGAATGCAAAGTATAATAACCATTCAAGTACCTTGTTCCCATTGGCAGTAGCAACGAGGTCATCTATCAGTAGTTGTCCCCAAGCTGCCAGCATGCTGGTCACGTAGTCGTGATCTGGTGGCTGTGTCAGCTGAGCCATGGCATGTACAACCAGCGCCGCATCCGGCACTTGAGGTGGTGATAACGGTTGGGCAACTCCTAGAATTAGACAATGTAATAACTATTTCAAATTTTATTTATACATACTAATATTACAAATGTGTCTGACTGTTTATTTCTCGTCTTTCATTACCCTACGACTGGAAATTTGATATGAACAACACGTTACTGTAATCGAGATAGGCTAGACCGCGATCTCGTCTGCTTTTAAAGATAAAAAAAACTTTAAAAAGCAGATGAGATTGCGGTCTTTACCTAGTTATCCTATCCTCGGTATCCTAAAAAGTATGTAAATAAAGTGGTATCCACGTAATTACATTTGTTACTCATTTTTTTAGATAATTGATAAAGCCAGTCCTCGTGATACAATCCATATTCATGTAATTTTATTAAGATCCGTTTAGTTGTTTACCTGCGAAAAGCTAAGAAATAGAGTGACAAACAGACATACTTTCGCATTTGTAATTATAATATTCGTTTTATTAATAATATGAATTAGTCTTTCTGACAAAAGTTTTGCTACATGATCCATGATCAGTCTTGGACATAATTTATCTGTGTACCAAATTACATACGAATTCGTCTAGTTATTTTGGTGCAAAAGAGTAACAGATTTGAATCCTACCATCTTAATGAACTTTCATTTTTCAATATTAGTAGTAATTATTGTTATTATTATGATTTCTGCATAAATTTGTAAAATGTGTGTTTGTCACGTAATTGATAAAACTTGGGAAACAACCTTGCCCTGTGTTAATGTACGACCTACATAAAACTTTTATATCTTAATACTCACGCAGACTCTATCTGATTTATTGTTTAACAGCTTTGATCATCAAAACAGTAATGTCCATAAAATACGTATAACAATTTGAATTATTATTTTTACCTGTCAATATAAATTTTGTAAAGGCATTTAATAAGGCAAAAATAAATCGGCTGGGATCCGGCTTATATATATTTTTGTAATGTAATAAATTATTTCTACAATCTTGATAAAACTATAATATTGCTTTAACATTTTTACATGTGTATATTTAGATGTCTATCGTTTCCTAATTATTTTATTTAATGGAGAATTGCAAATAATCTTTTGGATCAGCTGATGGAAAGAAAAAGAAACATGGTCACTATGGAATCATAGAACCTGGCGACTATGTAATGTGTGCCGGATTGTATTGCTGTTGATTGTTAGGGTTGTAAACATGCGGCAGCGTGCATTCCCAATCAATATTAAGTTTAATTGCGTAAATGGCGGGGAGAGACGGGAAGATCGCATCAAATTAACCGCGCTCCTTTTACCAGATCACAGTTCAGTTAAGAAATAGGAAGAGTGAACCAATAATTTTCCGATAGAGCCATTATTCTCATCCACTGTAGTTATGATATATCCACAGTTAATTTCTAAATGATTAGACTTTAATCTTACGATCATTTTATTGTCTATAGTTACAGCTATGTCTAATACTTCAATAATAGTTATCAATAGAAAATATTAAATCAATAAATATGTATAATGTACTCTTATCTATATATCTATAATGATCAGATAAGTTCTTTTTTTAAACAAATTAGCCGGATCTATTTGCTTTTATAGTTTTTTACAACGCACTTAATTAGACACAATTTTAAAGGCGTATTCAATTAGAATAAATATTGAAACATGAGGTAATTAAAATTAAACATAAGTAACATATTCTCGTTTTTGTGCATCATAGGTATAAGTTATCAGTTTTTTTAATATTATTAAACATTTATAAATAACTGAATAACGCAAGACGCAAAACGAACCATGGAATCAATTTTGCAACTATTCCATAGTTATTTGTGATATTAGTACCTATATAATAACTTTGAATTTAATTTTTGAAAATTATATTAAATATTTTATTGAAAGATTTTTCAATTTGTAAGTGAATATGCTTAATAATGTATTATTATTTTTTATCTTTTCTTCCATACCTGCATTACTGATTTTACTTGCATAGGTCAAGTTGATAATTCGTTTTATTGAACTGAAGATTAATGTGTCAGTAGTAAATATAGGTATGTGGCAGTCCATTTCATACCCAAAAGCAAAACATTAAAATAAGAATTTTATAGAACATTTTTAGGTATTTTTTGGCACGAAACATTAAAAATGGTATAATTGTAATAATTTTACGATAAACATACCTATTATAGTCGTCTATTTAAACATTACAATGACATATGAAATGTCAAAATATGTTTGTTTCCCGCCAAAACATTTTTCCTCATTTACGTACGGCTATATTTTCAGAGCGCAGTAATTGGAATTCGATTTATAAAATTTTCAAAATTGGAACACTCTAACTTAAGATAATTATATTAGTATGATTTAAAAACACTTAATAAATAATAAATAATTTAAATCATGGGATTTCGCATAAAATTATTTCATCGACTAGGAATATTGTATAAAAAAATATTTTTGTAGATAATACTACAAAATTATTCTTAATATGCAGATCTACAATGCGAAAGTGGCTGCTTACAAGGATCGGGGAAGGCTCAGTTTATCATGATCTGATTAATCGTGTGTTGTCTGATGGGGGAGTCAGGAGACTCCGAAACCGGCGTGCATACATGACTAGTGTTATATGAATATAAATGAAACAAGAATTGTATGTACGGTCAAAAGTACAGGCTGTGAGGTACAGATATACTAATTTTAATTTATCAAAAATACCAAATCTGTTCCAATATTATTAATAAGTTATAAAAGGTATTAAAGTTACATGTAGCAAACATGTAAATACCCTATAAATTTAAATATGTGTTGTTTATATAGAAAGATAAAAATTTGGTTATTTAAAGTAGCCTACAAAAGGTAATGGAATTATGTTGCTCTTCACTAGAGGTACAGAAAGTTCAATTACACTTTTCAATTTATATATTAACTAACACAGAAATTGACTAATCGAGTATGCACTAGTATTTGTCTCTCATAAATTTATATCACTATCTTTGCCTACCATCCAATCTTATTCCTTCCTTTGTTAGCTATCAATTCATAAACGGGTCTTATGAATTGATAGCTAACAATATAATTAATTACGTTAGGAGGGACCAATAGTAATAGAGAAACCTGAAGCAATAGCGAATGATAGTTATAGTCACAGTTATTTATATTCGTACAAAAAATCGAACGACATGGCTTCACTGGAGTCAATGTTTAATAACAGGATAGGAGGCTAAATATTATTACTTTGATTAAGTAGATGCCTATTACGAGCATTGACCCCAATGCTACGCTACTTTGACATTTTTTAGTCCATGTTCAACTGTAGCAAAAAAAAATCCGAAATAGGCGGTAATTTACAGTAAGAAAAATAAGTATCTACTTAAACCAATCAAGATAGGTTTATGTTCATTCGATTATAGGACTTAATTCGAATATTTTCTCATATATTAGATAATATATTAGGATATTTTATTTATTGTTAATATCATTAAATTAATAAGCTAAGGTATCTTATTTAATTTCGAACATTTAGAAAATAGAATGCATGAATTGATTAATAATAACAATAATTTATTTATTTATTCCATCAATAATGACATCGAAGTACTTCTGCATTTCGAACTCTATATATTATTATGTCCCTACGCAGCCTATTTTTATCCTTAGTATTTATTTATTTATCAACTTACTGTACCATTATTGATCAATAAAACAGATAAATATGTATATTGTGAATAATACAAAAAGTGGCTTTGTTAATAATTAAATATTTTTATTTTAAAGAAAAATTAAAAATAGGTTATTTGAAAATTAAATTAAAAATAAGCTATCTATTTTTAATTTTTAAAAGCACAAGTAATTATAATATCGTACATAAAAGAGTTCGAAATTTTTAAATAATTACGTAGACAAAGGAGAATGAAATTTAACACAATTAAAGTTTATATTTATAGGTATATGGTGAGAAAGTGCACTGAACTATATTTTTTAGAATAATTCTTAAAATATAATATATTATATTAAATAATAAACAAATATACACACACTTCCATGTGTTTGCACACTAACATGTACAAAATATACAATGTTGACAATAAAACTTAAATAACATCGAAACTTATTATTAAAGTGTTCGAATTTGACCTTTAGGTGACCATTAGTTGATATTATTATGTAATAATATTAGAATCTGTGATTAGAATTAAATGTGCTAAAAAGGATTAAGGTCTTTTAGTTTTGCACGACCTTCAATCACAGTTCGATGTCGCGTCTTGTGTACTATGACTGTTGACTTTAATTGCTTAACATAGATAGCGTGAACACAGACGATTTGTACAATGATGATGATGGACATTAAACATGTCTATTATACGAATTAAAGAAACTGTGCTTACAAATCTTATGTCAAACCAATGACAGCGTGTAATAGGCATCATCACGTGATTTAATAGATGTTTTTGTATTTTTTCATAGTGACATCATTGACACTTAAATTTTTTACGAGTCTATAAGGTAAGGTACGAGTATATACTATTACTACATTTAAATATACACCATGTTACTTAAACATACTTGATTAAATACACTTGTTTATAATTATATAATTAATTCAGGTTTAAAAGAGGAATACAAAACCACTGTATGTTCCTAAATAATTGTATTGTATGTTAGCGTTAGAGTGTAGTAGCATATTTTTTAATGGTCTTGGTGCTGTTCATGTTTATAGCTGATTGTTACCACTTTCTATCAAATGGACTGTCAGCTTGTATGGCAGTATATAGAATAAAATAAAGTTTAATGTAGTTTGATAAAATCATAACGGACGCAACTTTTAGTGGTACCTATTTATTTATTAATTATATATCTACTTTACTAAATCATGATTATGAACTAAAACATATCTAGGAGTTTTCAAGAACTTACCATCGGCATATTTGGGTGGCATTAGCCTCAAGAAGATATCTCCCCGTCTGCCCCAAGGGCGGTGTCTCACATTGTTACATTCTCCGCTGGCGCTACGGTACTTGCTCGGTGGGCATGGAATATTGCTCGCTGCAGTATCGTCCGTTGAGCAGTTCTGTCTGCAATAAGGTTTTAATAATTTAATGCAATCCATCCTTAAGATTGTCTTGGAAGGATAGAGAAAACATTGATATAATATAACAACAATAGTAACTTACATAGAGTCTGATGTTTCATTCTAAAAGTCAAGGTCAATGTTTCATTCTAAAAGTCTACGATCACAGAATATATGTTCCCTATTCTGAGCATATTGGAAAAAGTGCTCAAATAAGCATAAATTTAATTTGAAGCAGAGCTTAATGCTATAAGCCCATATGTTGATAGGAATATGTAATAAAAAGTTAATTCATACAACAGTAAACGAAGTAAATAATTTCAGAAAGTATCTTGTGACTGCCACTAATTGTAATTACCAAAATAGTAAATTAAAATAATTTACTATTGCAATAAGTTGTAGTGGAACTGAAGTACAGTGAATCCGTTAAGCAGTTTTTGCTATTAGCGCGTACAAACAATAAAAATCTAATTTAATATATATTTTATGAACAGGTGATGTAGCAACAGTTAGAAATAAAAATTACGAGTAATAATATAATGTACTACTTACGTTACACTGCTACCAGCAATGAATCTTCTTTCTAAGGTCAATGCTTCGCTAACTACTCGTCTTAGATCACTTGGAACTCCCTGTATACTGCTGTCATCTGATTTTATTTTTTGTGTGTATGTTTGTACAGCTAACAGGGTCGTTAAAAATAATAAACTTCGCCTCAATCTGAAACAAGTAGAAAAAAAGTATTTACTATTCTATCTACGAAACAATATAACGAAGATTTATTTATGAAGTAGGTAGGTATAAATATACCTATATACAATGCATATAATTGTGTACATGCATACATTATTTTGCAATAAAAATAAAAGTTATGTTTAGGTTGCCTTTTAATAATAAAACAGATCGTAAATCATTACCGTTTTTGCCTATCATAATAACGGATATATACTACTATAATATTCTAAGAATGAGAATAAATAATTATTAGTTAATACTCTTCAGATGATGTAATATATTATTATAAGATAAGCATGCAACAGTCATGAATATATTACTAAGAAATATTTTTTTAGTAAGTCATCACTCTTTTTTCTATCCAAGTATACAGGTCAATTCATCAAAGTAGAAGGTATGTCTTCGTTATACTTACATTTAAATGAGTCTATAAGTAAGTGAGATGTAGTATACGAGCATATATCTGTCACATACAATCGTGTAACGAGATTGATCACTTTGAGCACCCATGCAACTGGTCACCGGTCAGAATCAGGAAGTGATAGTAAAGCAATGACCATACTGTAAAATGTACCCAAATGCATCTAGGTGTTCTTATGTCGATTATTAATTTAATTTTTAATTTATCGAGGTGGAGTTTGGACAATATAATCTGAGTCAAAGCTATGCTGCTCTGACTTGCCTATTGCTGCCGCCCTGCAGTTGGATTTGGAAGCTGTATTTTGGTTGAAGTGTTAGATATGCCAGTGTAATTAATGGATATGAAGGTATAATTTTAATCTGTCGGAATGACGACGAATGAGCGTACTGGACTCGTTACATGACATTTATAGCGCTGCTCTGGTATATGTACGTACAAATAACGTAGTAAATAGTAAAATACAAAGATTCTCCATTGACAGTACAGTTCAGTTTGCTAACAATCAAATCTCATATAAAAGAAACATTTGAAATTACTTAAACAATTCTTATATTTTAGATCACTGGGTAAAATTGAGACATTTAACATTTTAATGTTGAATAATATTCATTAATAATATAGGAAACCGAATTTCTTTCGCACAAACTACAAGGTGATAAAATATGTGTAGTAGGAAGCAAACGAGACTTAAGTACCTACCATCAAGAGACCACTGCCAACCACAAATTTATAAACGACCGCAATGCTTTCGTTTATATCGCAGATCTCTTATGACAGTCGTTGGCACACACAGTACGTAGGTACTTACTTTCTAGGCTTATGTCATTGACATTGTATTAAGAAGTTAATCAATCGGAATACACGTATCTGCATTGGGATCGTTTTTATCTTTTGAGATCATTCGGTTGTTTGTAGGTAATAGTAGTAGGGAGGTAGATAATAAGGTTTTGGTAACTGGTCAGAATTATAAAATATCAGGGGCAAAACATTCTTGTATGAAATATAATTCTCTTATTATTTTTACTATTACAATGGTGAACATGTTCACCTGTTGTAGATTTCTCAAATTTATATTCTTTGCGTTTTTTAATCTATAATTATTTTCTAGTTATAATTTTGTCCTCAATTTTTTTACCAAACTGCATTTTAATTTTTTTTCTAATATTAAATATATTATACACTTATTATGCAGATACAATAATATTTTTACGTTATAGAAAAGAAAAATGACAATTTATTGGTTTTAATATGAGTTATAATGGGATTAGAACGGACCTAACTCTATTGAAATTCCTATATATCTATTTTACACGTAAATCAAAACCAAGTCATGGTCAGCTGAGTAAATTTAGAGAAGGCGCCAGTCAGCAGTCATTAGACACGAAGAAAGTAAAGCTTCCTGGGAAAATATCTAATTTGCACAACAATTCTTTGGTTTTAAGTATGGTTTCACTACTTATGTTTAAGCCAAAATTGTCAGCAAAATAGTGGGCTAGTAGATAATGTTATTGTACTCCTAATGACAAGTCATTAAGAGTATATTAATATTATCTACAAAATAAATGTAATCGTAACAAAGGATAAATAATCCACTAAATCTATAGAATGCCAATTCATTTCCTTTAAAGAAAGGACTAATTTCTTCTAAACTAAATTCTCAATACTAAAGGATTTCCTAACTTGCTATTTTAATATGTAAAATGAATAATTCTTGTAGGTATAGACAAGTATATACAAGATTATAATTAATTAGATAATACATATTATATCGGTAATTATTTGGATGATCCGTACATTTGTACTACCGTTACCGTTTTGCTTTTTAAGTTTATCTATACAGATATCATCCTAGGAAAAAGTCTACAAAAGGCAGTGTTTGTCAAAATATTGCATGGTGTTTTGAGGATATATTCGTATAGTCTTGGTTTACTTCTATGTATTTGGTTCAATTTGATTACTTGGTAATGTGCAAAAGACCTGTAATCCTGGATAATTTCAAACAGTACGTAATGTTTATGGTTTAGTTCATTGGTAGATTAATCCAACGCAAGGTGGTGGTTACACAATCGTATTACAAGGCTAAATTTTAGAGCTAGATGCTCTTGAAGCTCTTGAATGAATTTTATTATTTAGAGTAGCATTATTATCATAGCCTTCTTTTTTAGACTAGTCTAATGCTGTTCGCCATAGTTGGCATTTGCGGCCTAAACGGATAGGGGGCCAGTGCAGATGACACTTCAAAGCTGCGGAAGGTATTATGGAGCGACTGAATGCCAATTCCTGCATGACGGATACGACTATAGCCTGAGGGCACCGTTAGGGGTCCGAACCTCGGGTCGCCTAGGCGGCAAAGTTTGAATTGTACGGGGGATGGATCAGAGAGGTATTGTTATTTGGCTTTTTGACTATTATAGATAGAGTGCGAACTGATTATTATCATTTCATATATGTGGTATTAGTTTTTCCGAATGTCACAAATCATATTTGTTCTTTTGAATTATATCCTGAAACCGACAGATATTCATCCCTTCAACTATTATATATACGACGGTTATGCATTTAAATATATTTTTTTCGTATTAATTAAGTTTCAAAATAGTAGTCTTTAAATTCTCCATAACTAATTGAATTTGTATGATATAACTTCCAATAAATTGCGTAATATAAGTTTGAAATAAAACTTGTTTTTGTCTAAATATATTGACATTTTAAAATAACTGATTCATATTCAAATAGGACGCTAACAAAATATATATTCAACTTGTTTGAAATATGGATACCCAAAATTAGTTCAAATGCTTAACTTATTTATGGATGCAATTTAAAATCAATGCTTTAAATCTGGTATTTATTAGGTATATATTTCACTACGCGAGCTGCTTAGCGCCTACTATATTTAAAACTCAAGAAATAATAAAACATGTAAAATATAAATGTCACATTTCTGCGACTTTAATACAGGATGCTTAATTGTATGAATAATCAGGAACAATATGGCCTATCATATACTGTTCCAGATTAATTGGTCGTGATCATTAACAAGACCAATCGATTTTGACATTGACATTAGTTTTGTCATTTGTTCTCGATATTTTTGTTTATTTCTATTCGAATATTATTATGTATTCTAAAATATCTTTCTTTTTGACACTTGTACTTTTATATTGTTTATGTTACTATCCGGAGCGGAGACGAACAGAAATTATTGAAATTGATCTAGGCGAAAAATATATCAATGTAAATAGTATTTACTTTGTTTTATATATACAGACAGACTAACTAAATTACACCTCGTCTGAATATTATTAAATAGAATGCAGCTAATGATTAACATATTATTTATGAGTCAAAAAGGAGGGCATTCACTTTACCATGAATGTATGCAAATTTAATGTAGGTAATAACGTCTGATTATAATTTGATTCGCATCAGACTGAGTGATATTTAGAATTATTTGACAATTAATAAAACTAGAGTTACAGAAAAGAAACAGTAAACAAAGTTTCCTAAAGAGTGTTATAGTGCTATCGGCATTTATTTTATTAATTACCGATTTTTATAGGTTAGTCAGAAATATTATGTCAGTATCTTTTAATACACATTAAATAAAATATAAAGTACAGGTATTCATAAATATAACGATTTTGTATGAAACTAATATTCTTTTAATTTACATATTATTCACTAAAGAATAATATGTCAATTAAAACAATACTATTACAAATGTACACTCGATTTAAAACATGTGTATATAAAATGTATTAATTATAATTATAGGTATTATACATGTAGTATTTAAAAAAATTACGTCACTTCACACTTGATATTTAAATTAACCTAGTGTGCATATACGGTGGTTTACGTGCAAGTAATAAAACTGCGTGTAACAACTGGTCAGATTGCTTTCAATGTCAAAAACGCGATGGAATTGCTATCAGCCTCGATAATTTTGACATTAGTGAAATGAAAGTGCGTTCGATTCGCCAACAATACGTGACCACTAGGTAAAGTGTCAATGGATGTTGCTACTCATAGTTAAAGTTGGACAAGGTTAAGTGGCGAAACTTAAAAAAAATAGCTCACTGGATGAGGCACGTGTGTATAGACATGTCAACGTTTTTTTGTTTCTAGTTTCTACGATGGTTATACCCGAAACAATGGATACCTTGCGCAGCATAAACTTATAACAAAATACTATGGCATAACTTAAATAATAAAATGTAAGCAGAAAGTTGTATGTAACCTCTATGGCTAGTAATTGCTAGTTAGTATTAATCACATGGCGAAAATTTTATTAGTATTTTGGTAAAAAAATCTGGGTATTGTAGTATGTCTATGACAACACTTTGAGAAAATAATATAGCTACCTCCAACTCTGTATTTTTCTCTGAGATATTTAACGTTTATTCGAACACCTATTGTTTCATTCGGAAGGTTACGAAAACGTGTCGTGATTAGCACAGAATAGTGCAAGAAATGAAAAATACTGCTATAACTACGTTTCGTTTTTGGTTATTTATTTTACTTACGCATAAATACATTAAGAAACGATTCTATTAAACTT